GGGGGGGGGGGGGGAGATGAGCACAGGGAGGCACGAGCCCCGAAAATAATTTTCCCAGTCTCATACTTTTTGCACAGCAAAACTAAATGTAACTTAAAGCAAAGAGAAATCAACTTAAAAGCACTTAAAATAAATTGAATTTTAGAAGGGGAAAAAAAAGCTTGTGTTAATAGCATAACCGAAAATGATCCTTTTAGAACTAAAATATTTTCTAGGTTTCCGAATATAGGTTTCTGAATATAGGTACATTTTTTCTAATTTGCTATGGTGCAAATTTACACATCAGCCCAGGCCCCACTATACCTTAATCCAATCCACTGGTTATTTAAAAAAAAAAAAAAAAGAAAGAAAAAATAGTGAAGTTGGAAAATGTTGTATATTTGGAATTTGTAACTTTCCCCTACTGAAAAATTAACCACTGCATTTTTGGTTATGGATTAAAATTTAAAGAAGCAGTAGGCAAAGTTTTATCAATGCTGGAGAAAAGTGCCGCTTATGCATTTTTCCAATGAGTATTGCAGAATACATTTCTTTTGTATCATTTATAATAGTCGTAATAAGCTACGAGTTATTTCTTTGAAGGAAAAAAAAACGTGAAAACGAAATAAATTTTCAATCACTTTAGCATGATCGCTGCAATTATTATAGTTGTCCTTTTGTACGGGAAATAATGTAAGATTTTAAAAACTGATAGTACTTATAATTAAATTTAAGATGTTAATTTTACGAAAATTCTTCATCCAATTTGTTTGATTTATTTACTGTTACACGTATTATTTATAGTTATACATAATTAGATTTAAAGTTTTAATTTTATGAAAATCTTTTGCCAACACTAATATACATAATCGCCAATCAAATTCGTTTAATTTATTAATTGTTACACATAAATACGCAGGCTTCTGTGCTCATTACAATGCAAGGCATGTAAGCTCTTGTCAAGTTGAAGAAAAGATATCACAAGTTAAAAAAAGAATAATATTCAGAATTACGGCGGGATTCGAATCCGCTACCTCCACGCCCTGCAGCGTTTCTTTTTTAAAAAATAATTTGTTGTATTTGTAGTTGATTTACGTCGCACTAGAGCTGCACAATGGGCTTTTGGCGACGGTCTGGGAAGCATCCCTGAGGATGATCCGAAGACATGCCATCACAATTTTGATCCTCTGCAGAGGGGATGGCACCCCCGCTTCGGTAGCCCGACGACCTGCACGCGAAGTCGAGCACTTTACGGTTGAACAGTTTAACGAGGACCCATACCGCACACCGTCTGTCCCTACGCAGACTGATCGAAGTGGTCACCCACCCACACACTGACCGCAGCCAGTGACGCTTGACTTCGGTGATCTGCTGGGAACCGTGTCTTAACGATCAGTCCACTGCGGGACTTTTTAAAAAAATAAGAAAAAAATTATTACATATATATTTATTTAATCAATTGTTTATTTATTCATTTTTATGTATTTATAAAGAAAAAAAAGTGACATTTAATGTTTAAAATGAGATCTATGTATTTACCTACGTTTGCTGCGAAATATATTATTAAGGGTAAAATAACTATATAAAAACAAACTATTCATAATCCAAATATAATGTTTAGAGATTTAAGTATAGTAACTTTTTATTTTATTTTTACTGCTCTGAGGATTTTATTGGGATTTTTATGGCACTTATATTATTTTATGTTTTCTTTTAACTGATATAAATGCTACTATTTCTCTCTCTTATTGCTTTAGAAACCTAAGGACTGTTATTTTGTATTGAGAATGTACTATGTTAAATCGCGTTACGTAATCCTTACTCATAATATACGTATTTTAGTGACTTGTAAAAAGTTTGTGACATTTCCGACCCAATTTACAGTTTACGATTAGTAATGTTGAACTCGGTGGCCTTGTAATTTTCATCCCGAAACAGAAGTCAAGAGAACTCCTGGATAGGGAGAATTTTCCCATCGTGGAGGACTTTTTTATGGAACTAACCCACAGTTAAGTTACACGGAGAAGTAAACCACTAAATCCTCCCATGGTAGACCTGACGTCAAGGGGACTCTAACCCATGATCCGTCTACCACTGAGGATATTTTACGCCTGCACTGTGGTAGGTGCGTGCCGTGTGCGGAATTCGTATCGACCAGCCACCGCTGGGATTCGAAATCCGGGGCACCACATTGGGAAGAGAGCGCTCTATCCCCTGAGCCACCACGACCCCAAGCTGTATCTGTAAAATCGAACTTTCTAAGTATTTTTAGGTTTGATCGGGTGGGATCATTTTCAATCTTAATTATTTGTTTTATTTACTACACATACATATGCAGTGAACACTTGTATGCTTATTGTAAGCTGTATTTGTAATAAGCAAACAACCCTTCCCTGTATATGTATGTGTTCTAAATAAAAAATTAAAATTGAAAATGATCCCATCTGATCTGTCTATGGATGATAACAATCAAGCATAGCAATACTAACAAAGTTCCGATTCTAAAATAATAAGTAAATGATTTCAGGTATAGGTAGAGTTTGCACGAAACATCAAAAGCGAAAAAAAAAAAAAACATTTTCTGACATCTTGAAATCTGAGAACAATAATAATGGGAATAATAAAAGAAAAATATATTTCAAATAAAAGTTTTTTCGTTAAAAGAATTAACTATAAAAATATGTAATTTAATATAGCTCTCAAGAATTTAAGCAATCTATTAATTTAATAATGTTTACAAAAATCAAAAGAGAGACTCATTGCTGCAGTATACTGAGAATATACATCAGAAAACTTGGCAGGTATGCACATAAATATATTCACATAAAAATTTTAAAAAAAATATCAAGTTATTTTAAAATGCAAAGCTTACCTTTTAATTTTTTATTATTAATCTGCACAAAAATATTCAGATTTGAAAGCAACAGGTATTTCAGTTAATTGTATTTAAAGAGGGGTTTTAATCTCGACGATTTGATAAAAGGCGCGGTCAGATCACAGCATTGTTTTCGTTTATCATTTTTCGGTCACGAGGTTATTCCGGAAGAATCAGATGACTTGTAATGTTACTCTACCTACTACCAGATTCTGACTAGAAAGTTGCCAAGTGAGTAATCCTTAGTACAACAACGTCACTTCTTGCGTAAAAATAAATTTCGAAACAATTTATTCGTTTTTCTATCATGCTCTCACCTCTGTTTATCTAATTTCAGCTTAAAAATCGTCCTTATCAGTATTCTAGTCACAGCAATTTGATCATTATTCTGACCTTTCAAAACCTGGTGAAAGCAAAGAATGTTCTATAACTGCTCGATTGCTACCTTCTCATTCAAAAGTTAATGAATATCCAATTAATAATGTTTAAAACTACCGATGAGTTAATTGTTAATCATTCGGCCAGTTATAGAATAAAAGAATGTTCTATAACACGTCGGTTGCTACCGTCTACCGGGTCATTCAAAAGTTAATGAATGTCCAATTAATAATGTTTAAAAATTACCGATGACTTAATTGTTAATCATTCTGCCAGTTATAGAATCAAAGAATGTTCTATAACTGCTCGGTTGCTACCTTCTACCGGATCATTCAAAAGTTAATGAATATCCAATTAATAATATTTAAAAATTACCGATGAATTAATTGTTAATCATTCTGCGCAGTATTTAAAAATCTCAGATTGTACTCTTCACTTTAAAATAGATTAAAAATATATAAATTAATTTTTAAAAAAATTATTAAACTAGGAGGCTTCACCCCCTATTCTCTCCGCTCATAATCACCAACCTCCGAGGTGTCATCTCATTCATCATTTTTTTACCGTAAAAGTCGATTAAAAAAAAAGATCATTTTGTTGCGATTATAATTTTATGTAGGCACATTATAGTAATATGTCAACGTTAACAAAATGAAAGGATAACAGGATTTGAGAAATAATCAACCCTTCTTAAAAAAGAAAAATAAAGAAAGATAAAATAAACTTAGGAGCATAGAATATGCGACACAATACAAAGTAACAAAATCCCGCAGTGGACTGATCGTAAAGACACGGTTCCCAGTAGAACACCGAAGTCAAGCATCACTGGCTGCGGTCAGTGTGCGGGGGTGACCCACTTGGATCAGTCTGCGTAGGGACCGAGGGTGTGCGGTATTGGTCGACTTCGCGTGCAGGTCGTTGGGCTACCAAAGCGGGGGTGCCATTCCCTCTGCAGGGGATCAAAATTGTGATGACATGTCTTCGGATCATCCTCAGGGATGTTTCCCAGACCGTCGCCAATAGCCCATTGTGCAGCTCTAGTGCGACGTAAATGAACTACAACAACAACAAAGTAAGAAAAGAGAAATAATTTTGCTTTTTAATAATATCTGACGATAACCTTATATGTATCAGTTTGCATTGGAAACAGTTTTTTTTATTCGATTTTAATATTTTAAAAAATTTCTTTAGGAATATTAAGATTTGCGTCTGGCAACGTGTAATCCCTCTCTAATCTTCTTAATTATGCATTTTTTTTTTTTTTTTTTTTTTTTTTTTNTGTTTTTTTTTTTTTTTTTGTTACTTCTGATATCAAATCAAGCGTGAACTCGGGAAATGAAAACCGCGAGAGTAATATAAGTTTTACTACAATAAATGAATAAGCAATTAATATGGATTGATAAATAATTAATAGTACAGGGTGTGTAGCCAAATCTTTCAACAAAAAATAAGCACCTTTTAAGTACTTTTTAAGCACTCAAAAAATATTTTTAAGCACGATATACATCAACAAAATGCAAAGTAATTTTCAAAGACTTTAGATGATCATGAGAAAATAACTAGTTTCTGACAAAGAACTCTTTTCTTGATTATATTAGCCGTTATAAAATGATGGTGAGATTTTTCGGTTCGATATCAGAGGGTGGAAAACGAAGTCTGAAGTTGAGAATATCTTACAAAATGCAGTAGAGTTGCACATGAGAAGGCAATAATCTCACCGAACCCAGCTCAGTAGAAGCACATACGGACTCGCAAGTATTTTCATCAAACATGTAAAATGATTGACGCTTTCATACGCTATGGACCGACTGTACGCCGTAGCTCGCTTTTGAATATTACGTAGCAAAAATCGACATGGTTACAAAAAAAAAAAAAAAAATCCCATTTTTGAAAAGGGAAAATTAAGCACTTTTTAAAAACACCCAAAGGAAAAAGCACCTTTAAGGGATTTTAAATAACGAAAATCGAAAATAAGCACCTTTAAGCACTTTTTAAAAACGCTGCGCACCATGTAAAAGCATTTAAAACTGCAATAACTTTCGAACAAATTGGATTTTCGAAATAGGTTCATAATTAAAAATAGTTCTTTTCTAACGTCAAATTTCAACTGCTTCGGCTGGCAGTAGATCGGCCGATAATATGATTTTCATTTCTAAACTAAAAGTTTAACAAATTATAAATAATAAACACTGATAATCGAATCTTAAATTCTTTTTATTCCATCGAGCTTCAACTATATTTTTCTTCACACCTTCATCCTTTCAAGTCTTAGAGTGTTATCGCGGCAAAATAAAATGTTGCAAAAAGCAAAATAAAGTGAGAAAAAAATTCGCAAAAAAAAAAAAAAAATTATAATAATAATACGTATAATTGCAATAACTGTGGAACAATATAGAATTTCTTAAAATGTTAACATAAAGTTCATAAACAAACATTCTCCCTTGTCGCATTCCCGCTGTTTGTAGGACGGGTTTTCCAACAAGTTTAGCAATTATTTTACAGTTATTCAACAATTATTATTTAACACCTATTTAGCAATTATTTAACAAATATTCCATCGTGCGTTTTTTTTTTTTTTTTTTTTTGCGCATCTTAATAATCTTAAGCTTCTAAGTCTAATTGACTGCTGTTGCATTCTAACTTAAGTAGTGCAGCCATCCCCTCTGCAGAGAATCAAAATTGCGATGTCATGTCTTCGGATCAACCTCGGGAATGTTTCCCAGACCGTCGCCAATAGCCCATTGTGCAGCTCTAGTGAGACGTAAATGAAGTACCTACCTATCTCTAACTAAAGTTAAAATTTTTTAATATTTTTTTTAATCTTACAATTTTTCATTACAGGGAATAAAAGTTTTTTTTTTTTAATGACAATTTTGATTTCTTTTAATTTTAAAGTTAAGAGCTTTTGCATTATATAAATAATTTTAGAATAGTTTCATTTATTCAAAATCATACAAAATCCAGTATATATAGAAGATCAACATTAAAACGGACATGTTGAGGATTTTTCAAATGGAAAGCGGGATTAAAACTGATTTCATATTAAAATATGGGTGTCACATTCTCTGAAAATACCCATAAAATTTATTGTGGGTTCCTTTCCAAAGCAAAAAAAGCCTTAATTTAATATTTTGAAGACTATTTATACAACATTGTAGTTTTATACAGATATAAAGGCATTCTCTGCAATTTTCTTTAATAAAAAACTAATAAATAAAAAAAATTTATTTTTTGTAAAGAATTTGCAGAATTCGTATTCATTGCTGGGAAACATGGTCACTTCATTATAAGGAGAATGCTCTATCCCCAGAGCCACGCAGCTACCTTGTATCGACCCAATTTTGGGTTTACGACTACCTATGTTTAACTCCGTAGCCTTGAAATTTTGAACCAAATCCAGAAGACAAAGAGAACACCTGGATCAAGCATTGGGAGAAATTTACCTTCGTGAAGGACTTTTTGAGAGAACTAACACGGATTTGCGTTACATGGAGAAGAAAACCTCGAAAATCTGCCACAGTTAACCTGACGGCAGGGGGACTCTAAGCCATGATTCGTCTACCTCTGAGGATATTTTACGTTTGCACTATAGTTGGTGTGAGCCGGGTGCGGAATTCGTATCTTCCAGCCATTGCTGGGATTCGAACCCAGTTTATCTCATTGGATGGCGAACGCTCTATCCACTGAGCCACAACGACTCCCTTATTTGCATTTGTTGATTCTCTAACTGAAATCAAGTTGTAAGCAATGTTAAAGGCTTCTTAGTTTTCGTATGCAATTAAACACATGTTCAAAACAAGCTTCAAACTAAATACTTAAAATAAAAAAAAGAAACACATTTAATTACTAACTTGATTATTAAAGTGATAGATAATTTTATGAACATTATTTTCAAATTAAATTACTAACAAAATTTTCTTTGATAAGGTCATTTTATCGTTGATTTCCTCCGTGCCAAGAAAACAGTTAAAACAGTATCAAAATTTGTATTATAAAAGAATATATGTTACTAAGTTTATCCGAAAACGTTCTTGATCTATACAATAAATTCACATAGATGTTCATAGTTATGAATCTGACATTTATTAGAAGAAAAGTGGATGCTAAAAGCAGAAGAATTTCCCATTTGCTTTGATGAATATTTCATTTGTCGGATCACTGATAGTACAGTTATAATGTATTTTCGCATTCCAAAAACGTGAGCATTTAAAAATGAAACATCAAATTCTTGTCACTTTTATGCATTTTACTATATATTTAATATGTTGCGAAAAATAACCGTGAGTAGTATAGAATGTTTAAAATTATTTCAAACATTGAAAAAATTTTACAGGGCCGAGGTAGCACCTCCCCTCCACAAGATCCACCGAGTAAATGCTATATTCATGCTCGAAAAATCTGTGGAATCGAAAGTCCTGAGGTCGGTCTCTGTGCAGTACCATGGATGCAGGGATCTGGAGAAAATTTCCTTCCCCTTCAGATCCATATCTAAATTGATAAAGTGGTATCACGAATAATTTTATGTTGCCATCTATCCATGTCGTTCGTTTTTTTTCTTCGAAGACGTACTTTTACTCTTGGGGTGATATCCTGTCAAACGAAAGGCACACCTTCCTGATTTAATTCACAAAGGTCAAATAGCAGGCGAGCTTGGCTTGTGCAAGTGTGATTAGAAACAACAACGAAAAATCTAATTTCCTACTAATATTTTTTTTAAATAAAGTATATTGACGATTCATGATTTAAAACTTTGACTTTATTCAAAACATGTGGTCATGAGGGTCAAATTATTTTTATCCAAAATTTACTCGAATTTTATATAATATAGGTAGACATGTGGCTGATTTAAGATTTCTGAAAAATTAACTTTGTTTTCGCGTAATTTTTAATGCTCATTTTTAGTATCATCCAAATCAGTTTTTGTTGGTTAAAACAATAATAAAAGTAAATTTGAAACAATTATCAAAACATAACACAATTATAAAACACATCAATTTAAAACAATAAAATTGGAATCATAAAATCAAACGCAGCATTAAACTATCTGAAATGACTTACTGCATAATTTTATTGGTGTAAATTGTGAGAAAAAAAATCTGTAGAAATTCTAAAAATAGTCAAGTGGTATTTATCCTTTACCAAATATGATGCGGTGTTGTTATTTTCTAATTTTTTTTAAAATGGTATAGCTTTTAATAGTCGAGTGATAATCTGCGATCCAAAGTTTGTTAAAAGGAATAAATCATGGAAGAAAGGAAAAGAAAAAATTTTAACTTAAAATCCAAAATGGCGAGAGAAGAGTTGCTAGTTATTCGACTTAGAATTTGTCTCTAAAAATTTAATGGTGAGCTCTTGAGCTTTGTTCATTTTGCCTTTTATTGCAGTCCAAACAATGAAACTGAAAAATTTATTTTATTTTGAAATTTTTTTTTTCTCCTTTTTTGTCTAAATACGAATTCGCATTTTGCGGCCGAATTTTTTTTCCTGTAAAAATCTGGTTTTTCGAAAATAACTTTTTTATTTGAGAAATCTGAAAACTAGAGAAAATTTCCTACAAAATCTATTCCTAGATTTTGACTGTAATTTACTGTAGCACTGTAATTATGTCTCTCTTTCCCTGTACTTCAACGGATAAATTGAGGAGGGGGGTAAAATAATCCCTTCAGGCCCGCATGCTTTGAGAATACGTACTAATACGAGTTGTAATACGCGAGTACCGAATTAAGATCACGTTGAATGATCTTAGGCCTCAGGAGTAGGTAAGGCTCGTTTCATATATGATACCGTAAAGGGAGAGTCATGTGATCACGATGCTGAAAGGATTTATTGAGATTTGAAATTTTATAAAAATTATCCTTCTATATGAGGAAAAAAATAAGATAAAACTTTAGTAGTTAGGGAAAGTTAAAAGGGGAATTATTGGGTGATATAACAAAAAATAATTTCCAGTAATAGGGCAAGTTAAACTTAAAATAGTTTTCAGCATCACTAAAAAAAAAGAGGGGCTCCAGTTTTTAATTTTTTTTTTTCAGGTCGTGAGAATGCTGAATTTAGCTGAGAATAAAATTTGCCACCTCTTTAGCAAACAGAAAATCTGTCAAAACATCAAAGATAAATATGATAAGCGCGTAAAGTATGATAAACCAAGGATAAAAGATAGTGAGACTGACAGTGAAAGATATGTTTTTCAATTGGGACGATTTTTTAGATCAAGTTGAGAAACTATTTTAAAAAAATTTGAGCTCAGAGTAATGCTTTTACTTTAAATTCTTAAAACTATCTTGTTTAAAAAAATCGTCAAAGCGTACAAATTAATTTAAATATTTAAAGAATTGCTAAATTAAAAAAAAAAAAAAAAAATGCCAGATTAAAGAAATTTTTGCACCCAGAAAAAAACTATTAAAAAGCAAAAATCTGTTTTTGCACATTTTTATGATCCTAAACATTGGAAGGTTTATTTCAGTAATTCAAACATTGAAAACAATAAAAAACTAATAACCTAAATGACTTTCATATTCATTAAATAAGAAAGAATCACAGAAAATAGGACCTCAAAAAAGTTAGCTCTCGAAAATAGTTGCATCAGTAAGCCCCTATATCAGTGTTTCCCAAAGTGTGGTACGCGTACCCCCAGGGGTACGGGAACAGTTTACCGGGGTACTCGTTGTTATGCAAAATATGTTGCAACAAACTAAAATTTCAGAAAAATTTATTTAAAAACAAAGCTAGCTATGAAAATGTACAATTATGTACTTTTCTATTGGCCATTTTTTGCAGAGTTAATAAGGAATAATTAGTGGTGTCAACAGCCAGTTGTGATTTTTAACTTTTGTGCAATTTTTTATAGAAAAAAATACATTCATTTTTTTATTAATGGTACACAGCGTTACGAAAAATTTAAAAAGGGTAGGCAAAAGTCATGAGTTTGGGAAACACTACCCTAAGTAAAAAATAGTTTCCTTGAATTCAAGGTAAAAAAGAATATTTAGGGTCCATTTTAGTTTCCTGATTTTCCTTTTAGAGATAAAATTCAGCCCTACATTCTTCTTAATCCTGATGACATGGATAACTATATTTAAAATGGTAAAATAATATCTTTTAACAACAACAAAAAAGTTTGTCCTGTGTTAGAATTCTATTTCTTATTTTAATATTTCTACTAAAATAAATATATTATAATATTTTAAAATATTAGACTAAATAGCAACCTTGAAATCTAAAAAAAAAAAAGTTTATAAGGTAAAAAAAGTTAATACATAAAAGAATAAAACTTCAGAAATAATATTCAGGGTTCATTCTAGTTTCCAGATTTCTCTTTTAGTGATAATTTACGCCCCCATATGCTTCTTAATACTGATGACGCGGATTGCTATGTTTAAAATAGAATTTAAAAAAAAAAAAAAAGAAGGTGGACCCTATGCTAGAAATCTATCTCTAATTTTGATATTATTTTTAATACATACTATGTGATTATGACTATGACACACAAATTGCGAATTTGAGTATTCACCTTTTGCTATCACAACCAAAAAGTGATTAACTTGCCTTTGTCTGTAATATATATATTTATTGTCTGTTAATTTTGAATTTTATTTTTAATGCACTTGATTTGAAATATTTGCATCATACTATTTCCGCGTAGTTTACATAAAAGTGCTGTGATATTTTTTATATGAATTTGATAACCAGATTTTGCACGACTTGGTATTTAGGCAACATTTATTTCAAGCTAGTTGCCTTTTTTTATGAAAAGAATTAGTAGCAAATAGTCTCATTTTATTTGCCAGTAGAGGCTCTGTAAAAGGAACAAAGATTAATTATTTTCTACTTTCTTAAAAAAATAAAATGTTTACCGAGTTTACAAAATTTCTTTTTATTTTCTTTATTCAAAGAAACATTTCGTAAACTCAAATTTTATATACTATAGCTAATTCGGTTATTATTAATAATATACGAATAGAAAAAACAACAGCATAGGGTACATGAATATTAAAAAAAATAATTTAAATACTAAACTTTACTAATTAATAACGAGTTTTAATTTATAAAAATATATTAATCAATATGCAATTTTCAATGGAAAAGTTGCTTTTTCACATAATAAACTCTTTCAATGTTCTGGAAACTTTAAAAAGCTCTTCGCACATTACTTTTTATCAAATACTCTTTCATGTGTCTAGATTAATTTTAACAGCATTTGTTTGGTTCAATGCTTTAATTTCCACATTCGAAGACAATTGAAATTTAATACCTATGCACAACATTATTTTATAGAGCTCTATTAAAAATATGGATAAACATTGTATTAAGGCAAAAGTTTACTTTTGCACAGACTTCTATTAATGGTACCAAAGATTCGTTAAAATTTCAAAATGATAAAATAAAAATTTCCCTTTTTGGTTTTTAAATGACCACTCACCCTTTAAAAACATTCATGTAGGATATACTCGAGAACAGAAAATCAAGCTTCTGTCTTTTTCCACATGTGTGGACACTATACGACCTTGGGTCTACTTTCCAACTAGCTAAAGCACTCAAATTTTAACAGTAGGTTTAGGATGAGTTACAATACAAGTTTTAATTGCTTCCTAACTGATACAATCGAACTTTAAAGTAATCTTATTACCAAATAGAATTTATCGTTAATTCAAATTTTGATTCTTTTCCGACAAGTTAGAGTGATCAAATCTCAACAGAGATTTATATTCGATGACAATGCTGCAAGTTACAATTGTTTCCAAATTGCTGCAAGCAAAATTTAGCTCCATTAAATTGCTAATCGACATTTTTTATTCTAAACAAACTACCAAACACATGATAAAAAGAAAAAGTTATTAAATAAAATTAAAATATGTTTTACGAGTGAGCTAAAAAGGAAAAAAAAATTCTATTTATGCCACACCTAAACAAAAATGTAGGACATACTTCTTTGGTAATATACTTCAATTAGCACCAAAAAATCTCCCCACATCTTCTAAATGTGACACCCATTATATTTTTTTATTTCAGGTGCAATAAAAATTGAATAATTTTCCGTTTTTTAATTTACTTGAAAAACATAGCTTTTAAAATTATTATATAAATCTATTATCTACTAATTTTTTACAGTTAATTTAAAAGTTTCAATTATTTTTCGGTGCTAATTCCATAAACAATGTGCCGAACACACAATTTTTTACATTTGCATTTCCTAACTAATAAATAATTATATAGATAAATATTAAGAGAGTTATAATTTCTATTTATCACACAATGAGCCTCACCCTATTTTTTCACGTCTATGGAAATTTTGGTCATGCCTGTGAAAATCATTTATGTTTAATCAACATAACTAACTTGTGAATTCGATATGAACTACTATAATAGTGTTTTTATACTGAAGCTCAAAACTCTATTAACAAGTGTGAATTAAATTCAAGAATTAAAAAAATAAAATAAAGAAATAAGCAGTGAGATGCCTGTTTTCACTGAGAATGACCCAAATATATCTAAGACAACAAAAACACATAAATAAAAATAGAAACAAGGTTTAGATCATTTCTTCTTTTTATTTCCAGTTCTTTTTGCATTTGCGTTAGGATTTCTCTTATCAAAATGATGTCGGACATGAACTCCTAAATGTACAGCTCGACTGTAAACGTCATTTGTAGCAAAGGGAGACTTCTGAGCTTCGTAGTCGTCGTGAAGGGCATTTGTCTTTTGCAGCCATTTTTTGGGCAATCTATTCTGTGGTGTAGGTTGATCTTCACAAGTCAGAGGATTGAATGCATGCTTTCCACCTTTAGGTGTTGGTAAAGAGTACTACAAAAAAAAAAAAAAGATTCTTCATTGTTACAAAGAAAAGTGCATAGCATAATGTATTAGGGTTGATACAGAGATCAGAAGAAGAAATCCAAGGAGTAGCCAAGGAGTCCAAAATTTTAAGGACTTATCAAAAATTTAAAAACTCTATGTAAAAGATAACTAGATAGTTTTTTTTTTTTAAATTAAAAAGCAGTTATAATAAGCAACTTGCAAAAATGTATATTTTGCATACTTTTTCTAGCCCTTTTAAAATAAATTTTGACTTTGTCAAACTTCATCAAGAAAAATAAATAAAGTTATCACTTTTACACATAAATATACATTTTCCAGTTTTAAATATTTTAATAGATCTTGTTAAAGTGCAGATGTTAAAGATTAACATAATAACCTACCAATCTTATATTTTTTATTTTAAATACATAACATAAGAAAACCTAAAGCATTTTATACAAAAAAAAGAAGAAAAAAATCGCAGTAAATTATTAATTAAGTTTGCTTGTAACATGTAAAATTAAAATTATTTGCTGTTATTTTTTTCTTCTAACTCTTGCAATTCAAATTTTTTCTTCTTTTAAAACTTTTCTTAAACTATTAGATTTTGAGAGCTAAGTCATATTATTTAGTTTCCCTGCTTGGACAGCAAATTCATCAGAAGACTTAGATTATTGCAATGCATAGATGAACTTACTAAGTTTCTAAGGACTAATTTGGACCCTCATAAAGTGCCTGAGGCCTATAAAAATTCCATCCCTTTCAAAAACACTTGACATCAAAAAGTGGCTAATTTTATTAACTAAAATGTCTATAATTGAGGGAAAAAATTTTGAAATTTAAATTTACAAATGCACTGAACCAAACTTTATTACTACATTTAACATTTACTCTTACTGAATCTACAATTGACATTCAAATTAAACATAAGCCACATTTTTCAAAAATTTACAGAAGGGTTTTAAAAAATTAACATATTTATTTGATTAGCAAAGTTTTTAAATTAAAGATTAAACAAGGTTTGTTTTGTAGTTAAGCTTAGGAATTTCATAACTTTTCTCCATTCATAAAAAATTTATAAAACGGCCAAAATGATTTATTAAAAGATGATTTAACATGTCTTGATATTGTAATGATTCTGCTCTTGGAGATTTGATTTTAAAAAGATGCTGATTTTGTAATCTAGTGATTTAATTAGTGGTAGTCACTGTATTTCAGTTTTATGTTAAACAACAAGGTGATCATTCTTGCAAAGTCTCCAAGATTGAGATTTTCATATTAATAGCACAAAATAAAAAAATTCCAGAATTTCATGTTTCAAATCATTTTATTTTTAATCAAACTTCAAATCAAAAATCTAAATTTAAATGCTAGAAATATTTTTAAAAATAGCTGTTAATTTTTTCACTGATTTAGCATGCTTTATAATCATGAGTCTTTTATAAAAAAATTACAATTTGTGTTCAATAAACTCATTAATATTAATTTGGATATATATTAATTGGAATACATATGAATTAAAATCAAAAATATTTTTAATATCTCTAATCTTGATGTCTTAAAAAGTTTAATTTAAATAATTCTTAAGAGCTTTTTCCACAAAAAGTAGAAACAACAAAATTATGAATTCTAACATTTTATAAATATAGCTCAAGTTAATAAGTCAGGTTAATACATAAAGTAATTGCCAACTCACTCTTTTCCCTCTGATATTGATAGGCCTGCGGAAGTTTATATGAATCTTTTTTGAGCCATCATCATTCACAGTGACACCAACTCTTTTCAGGGTTTTATTTCCACAATTAGGGCAAAATTTTTTGCTATTATCATTTGTTGTTCTGTGAAAAAAAAGCAGATAATTTGATATTAAAGCAATTTAAAAACAGGTTATTAAATTACTACAATGGCACAATAAAAAACAGATTTAAACTTCTTTATAACATACAACTTCATATAATTTTTAGAATCGCAAGTGTTCCTAAAATATATATGCCTGAAGCAGGGTTTCCGCTACGGTAGCTTTTTTCGCAAAATGCGAAAAGACCCCTCAAAAATTCTAAAATTCAACAAAGCATTTTCGCATTTTTGCTAAAGGATTTTACTAAATTCCAAGTATAANCTGTTGACTGTGAAAGGGGCTTTAGCTGCCTTAATTTGATTAAAACTAATATTCGAAACAGGTTGTTAATCAACCATGTAAACAATTTGTTAATGATTAATATTGAGGGCCCTGAAAGTGCATTTAACTTTCAAGAAGCATTTGTAAAATGGGCAAACATGAAAGAAAGGAAGATTGTTAATTATAAACCAAAATGTTTTGATAAATAATAAATGTGTTTTTTTTTGTTATAGGTATTCTTTTTGATATTCTTGTACATTAAGCTATTCTTTGTCAGATAACTTACAGTACTTGTTTGATATAAAGTAATTTTATAAGCCTAATGGCATTTTAGCATTTTGCTAAAACTTTTTTTCAGATTTTAGCTTTTTTGCTAATGAATTTTTAGACTCAGCTTAAACCCTGGCCTGAAGACATACTTCTTTTTAAGTAAAAGAAGTTAAAATGAAAACTAAGAAATAATTATGCTACATAAATTTATTAAATGAATTTAAATATATTAAATATTATGATTTAAACTAATACGCTGTAAATATTATGTTCTTATGAATAAATGTATAGTTTATAGATAAACTAAATTACTTATATTCAGGGCTCACAATAAGCATTTGCCACCTTGCTAAATGCGATAAAATCGTAAACTAGGTGAAAAAAATTGTGTTTTAGAGAAAGTGTACACGAATGACTTTCCGTCCAAATATATATATATATTACTTTCAATCCTGAACCAAAAAAAAAAAAAAAATTTCTGAAAAAATCTTGTATTTTTTAAAAATTTGATTGCAGTAATTTCAGTTAGACACGTTGCATAACTAATTCAAATTATATTAAGTCCAGATAATGCAAACAAAAAAAGATTAAGTATGCATGAGACAAACTACCATAAAATACAGATTACAACGCTTGTTGCCGCATCACAAGATATCAGGTGATGAAATTTCTTCCACAGATTTTGTCATTTAAACAGATTTGTTCAGAGAAGCAATATGTTCTCTCAAGATGCAAAATATGTTTTCTCTTGACAATAGCATAATGTTGCCTAAGGTTTATCCCTTTATTACTGCTCTAGTCTAAAAAGTTATCAAAAATTAAACCTAAACTATTCCTATTTCTTTTCCTCAAATATGATAAAATAACATCTACATTTCTTATTCTTTATCCCTCCCCTTCTTTGCTCCTCTACTCTTCCTTAACTGCAAAATGACTTTTGACTTGAATTTGATTTTTATAAATTATTGAATTATAGTAAATTCGTATTTTGATTTGAAGTTTTTTATGTGAAAAAAATTGATCATAAAAAAAGTTAAGATTTGACTTTGATTAAGAATTTTGGAATTTGGCTTATACTTGAGATATTTAGTTAATTAACTGGCTAATAATTTTGACAAGTTCTTAGCATGAACGCTGATAATCAATTATTGTTAATGTGCTTTGAAAAATAAGAGAAAACTAGTTTTTCAGTAGGAAAAAACAATACTAAAAAGAGATTTATAAGTGTCAGGCACACTTAGTCAAATAATTCAGTACAGTATATCTGTGAACGTAGGTTCTGTAAACCAATGTAAGGAAGTTCTGTCGCTTTAACATTCTCAATAAATATATATTTTTCATCAAGTTAATATTACACAGAAATTTGAGGAACATATTGATAAAGCAACTTCAAGTAATAAAAGCAACATGAAGTAATCATCATTTATAAATATTCTCAGAATGTGTTACGCATAGTTTAAATATAACTAGTTTGTAAGAGGAATTTAAAACAGAGGATATTCAATGTATTTACATAGAATTTTTTTTTAAAAATGATAATGTTTATTTAAACTGAAATGACTTAAAAAAAATTAGCCCAGATTCAACACAACAGAAAATTGATTAAATAATATAATATATATTATATTTAATATATAATGATAATTAAACATCCTAACCTTGTATGTAATTATAAATTTAATTTTATTAGAATAAATTATGCGTTTATTTTGTGCTTAGTAAAGAAGTGAAATTTGCAATAGAGATATTGATTAAATAAAAATTTCCAATTCACGGTAAATAGTCAGGCATAAAAATTCAACCCAATATTTTTGTCATTATTTTATATTGAAAAGAAAAGGATCAAAAGAACTTTTTAAGAGATCAATATAAATAAAACAATATTATACTCACTTAAAGCAAGCATGACATCTTAAAATGAAAACTTTAGCTTGTTTAATTAACATGCCTTCTACTGATATAACTCTGAGACCCATCTGAATAAGCACATTCTGGAAAAAAAAAAAAAATACATTATAAGATTAACCACTTTATAATTAATCTTTACTTATTAAAAATAGAAAAAGTTTAAATATTTATTTGAATGATAATTAAAATAATATACTTAAATCTTTTTAAAACTTAGTTTTGCTCATTCAAATAATACCAGAATATCTTCAAGTTCAATAAAGAGTGTGCAATATTATAAAGACAGTCTGGGTAAAATTGAAAGTTGCACAAACATTTATGAACTTAAAGCAATACTATATAATCTAAAATTCTGTTGTAAAAGAAACAATAATACACCATAAGTAAAAACAGGTTAACTGTAAATTAATTACTACATTAATATTTTATTCGAAGTCTATTTGTAATATTTAATTTGTAATTTTTTTCGCCAGACATATTTGTTTATAAAATCAGCTGATTTATAAAATCAAATGTGAACAGAATGAATGTGACTTTAATAAAGGGTAGATACTTTAACCAGAATTTTATTGTTGTAGGTAAAGGCAGTAGTGGTTATTTAGCAATCACTCTAAAAGCAAAATTGGAAACTTCTCAAGATAACTAATAAAAATAAATTAAAATTCTTTTTTCCAAATGTTTTTAAGAAAATCTTAATTTTTATGGAACCTTCTTATAAATAATTCAAAATTTTAATGAAAAATATGCTGTAATTTATTTTCAAATTTTGAACAACTAAAAAAATGTTAGTATCAGTATAAAATAATATGCACAATTGCTTGTAATTTTTTATAAATTAAAAATCAACTTTTTTGGTGAATATTTTTATAATAAACTTTCCAAAAAAAATTTGATCAATTAAAAAAGAGTCAACCAAAATAATAAATTTTAAAAAAATGTTCAGTTAAAATTTTTCCTACTTTTTTTTTTCTTCTTTCTATGTAATTCTCTATCCATCTCTAAATCTCTATTTCTTTCTATCTCATTCTCTATCTATTAATTTTCTAAAAGTAATTTCACTTTTAAAACATGTACACAAACACTTTTAGTCCCTCAAAACAAAACAAAAAATGGGTAAATAATCATATGGGCTTTACTACAGTATTCAATATTAATACACAATAGTTCAATTCATTGAAATTATCTGTTACCTGAACAGAAAAATCGGTTGAAATACAAGCAACAACAGAAGAAGATTCGTCTAATGCAAGTGAATTCATCTTCTTTTGCACATCAGCAATATTACTTGGAGTAATCCAACTATCAAGATCAGAATCTTCTTCATCTTCTCCTTCACTATAGTCATCATCTGCCTCATTTGCACTTTCATAATCTGTATCACTTGATACCTCACTTTTTGCATTTTCATAAACATCTTCAGCACTATTAGAGTCTATGTCAGGATTCTCCTTTGTGATTTTTTCCGATTCACTATTACTATCAAAAACTCCAGACATGCTATCTCTAGTGGATTCAGTTTTTTCAGAATCAGATGATTCAGACAGAGATTTCTGAAATAAAGATAAGCAACACACATTAAAGATAATACTATACAAAGTGTCCTTAAAAAGACCAAATTCAATGGAAGTGAAATTTTTATTAAAAATACTTGGGTAATTTGCAAAAAATATTTTTTTCCACTAACTAAACAAATAATAAAGCACTAATTTATTTGAAATTTGAATATGTGTAATGTTTAGCAACTTTCTTTTCTCCTAACTCATAATAATTCTTTTTAAATTTTACGAAAGGGAAAAAATATATAAAGCTAAATAATTATGTTATCACTGTTTCCAAACAATTTAAGGCTTGTGGAGAACTAACACTTCTAATGAGAATTCTATCAATTTCTGCATCAGAAACATTATTCGTCGGTTAAGTCAACAATTTCATTAAAATCAGTTGAACAGATAAAGTTCATTATCACACGTGATAGAATCGTTACAGTCAATCCTTTTTGTTTGTTCCAGACATGGATACTGTACCAATTTGGTTGAAAAGCAATCTAGTATTTTTCTAACCAAAACTTACAAAAAAAAAAAATTTTTTTTTCCCATCTAGCTGTAGATGTAATTTGTTAATTGGAGTTTGTTATTCACGAAGTAGTTTTTTTTTTTAAACTTCATCTTAAATAGGAGAAGAAAAAAAAAACCTTTCAAATTGTAAGAGTTTATACACCAGTGATCAATAAAATGACTCATATCATCCAATCAAAAATAGATGTTACAGCTTTTACAGCATGATCACTTGAAAACTTCAAAAATATTTATCATAAATGCTATAAAACTTTTTTAACAAAAGAAAGGGTATTTGTAAAAATTCATTCGTAAAAAGAAAAAAAAAAATTCTATTGTGATTTTATGAATTCAGCCAGTTTTCTAATTACTTTTAGAGTATAGCTTAATTTTAAAAATGGAATAATTTATAGAAACTGTGAAATGCAAAAAGTATGTTATATTTTTTTTTTTAAATCTGAAAAATGAAGTAAAATTTTTTATATTTTTTTCATAAAACAACATAATTCTGGACAACTACAAAATCTAAATTGAAACAAAATCAAGAGGAAAGTCAACTCAATAAAGTCGATATTTTTTTAAACTTTGTCTACAGAATAAAAGAAGTTAGTTAATTTGCTTTGAACTGTTTTATTCTCTCTTGGCTGCTATTGCTCTTCAGATAAAACTGATGGCCTGAAAACATTGTCTCAAATTGTCATCCCGAAAACATCAGAAAAATTTTTTTTCTCAGAAGGATATATCTAAATTTGAAAGTATTTAATATTTATTTGAATATATTTTAACTCGCTAAAGCTGGAATTTTCTCTATAAAACAAGCTAAGCTCCAATATACCTAACATTGTAACAACAAAGTATTTACAATTTTTTTGTTAAATAAGCGTTCTCTCTAAATCAATGCTCATTACAAAGAAGTTAGACTGTGCTACGTATTATATAATAGAAAGATCATGAAACTAAGTTAAAAAAGGGTTGTTATACAAAACAATTACCTCTTTAGGATAATAAAATCCACATAGCTTCGAATCAATATGTCCCGGTTTTCCTGTTACCTGAAATAAGAGAAAAATATCTCTAAAAACAGTTGCAGTATTTTGAATTTAAAATAATACAAATCATCATAATGGGTACTGGTTCCAAAGACAAAAACTAGAAATCTTAAACAATGCTTTTCAATAACCAATATATAAAACAACAACTAAAGTGTGTACTTAAAAAAAAAACAGTTATTACAATCGCAATGGCATAGCCACTAAACTTTTAAAATAAAAATTATGGAAATTTTATGTCATGTTAGCAAGCCATGTTACTATAAAAGCTGATTTTTCAAGAGAAATAGAGAGCTTTCAAAAGACAATTTCAAAACCAGGCTTTAGCAAAAACTAAAAATATTTTATTCATTTTGATACAAATGGTTAAAATATTTTTAATTTAGTTAATACAGCAGGGAACCGATAATCCGGAATGATCGGGACCATCGATATTCCGGATAACTGATTTTTACGGTTTTCTGAATCGCTACAAAAAGCCGTTTTTTTTATTGTTAAACTCAACTAAAAAAAAAAAAAAAATTGGAAATAATCTTAAAAATAAGAAAAAAGCGATGAAGTAATACAGTAATAATTATTTCCAAAATGATGGTAAGGTAAACATCTTTAAAAAAAGAAAGAAAAATCGCGAAATCTTATGAGGGAAAATTTTTTTTTATTTTAAAAAAATGGCGAGAAAATTTATTGAATTTCGTTCCGGGTTTTTGGTTTTCCGATTTCCGGATAACGGGTTCTATACTGTACAAGGGTTTTTCACTCAAAATATATTTTTTATAATCCCTTGTTAAGAAAATAAGGGGACAAATGACAACAGAATAGATAAGGTACAAAAGAAAACACATTTTTTATCAAATTGTTTATAGGCAGAATAATGATGCATTAAATAATTAGATTTGAATGCTTATTCTGAAATAAAAATTCTTTGAGTGTACTCATAACTAATATATAGATTTCATAGTTTAGAATCAAAGTAAAAGCAAAATTTTTTTTTTTTTGTTCCTTGTTGTTACCATGTTGTAGAATTGATCTTGAACGAATTTTTTCTTTCTAATTTGCACAAACAAAACTATCTTAAAACATTTTTATACAAACAATAGATGTGCATAACATACACCAAAACGCCAATTCTGCTTGGAAAACATTTTATTGTACTACTCAAATACTTCCTACAATAAAACATATAAGCTACTAACTAATTTTATACCTTCTAAACTCTGCTAAATTTATTATTATTACTAAATTTTAAAACATATATGATGGTAAGTACATTACTCAATACAAAGTTTTATAAAAATTGAAATATATTTTTTTTCCTCTAAAAATTTTTAAAAAAAAAAACCCTTTCAAAAAACAGTGATATCTGAATAAATTTCGTCAAAATTAGGTGGTGACTAAACGGTTGATACTAATTATAAGAGTCAATAAAGTGCTTGCAAAAAGTCTTTTGATTAAAATTTTGTATTTGCAGAAAGTTATGTCTGACAAACAGCATGCTTTCGAAATCAATTTTATTCTCCACATATTTTTTGTTGTTAATCTAGATTAAACTTTTATTATCAATAAAAAATAAAATAAACCTCAAAAATATTTTTGATTTAAAGCAAAATTTTTTTCCATACAAAAACCAGGAATTTAAGTTTGACAACCTTGTCAAGAAACAATTTATTTATGTCTAGACTCCACCTCTGAAAAGAATTGACAATTAAAATGTTTTAAAATGTATATATTAATTGATTATTAATTGACTTAATTTCAGAAACTTTTACAACAAAACTTCTGACTACATTTTTGTCACACACAACAATTATCTCCCATAAAAGCTCATGTAACAAAACGAACTTTTTCAGTTGTAAGTAATTCACTGTCAACGGGGTATTTTTAACAGAATCTGGCAATTTTTTTTACTTTCATTTAATACTGTAATGATGAGCAGAAATAAAAACATGTTCTGAGAGTTTTTAAATGATCTGCTATTTTTCTCTAAGGAATTTGGCTTACAAGTTAATGGCTCAAAATACAGTAAATATTAAAAAAAAGAAAAATACTAAAATATTAATCATATTTTTTGTGAGGAAAATTACTATGAAAGAATAAAGGAATTTAATATTTCTAATGAAATATTTTCAGTTGAAACAGAAATTTTGCAACCCACCAGCTGCAGCTGTTTTAACAGATTGAATATAGTTGTTGATATCAATAATGTAAGGTATTTATTTAGAAGGATTTCAAAAAATATGTTTCATTTCTAAAAAAAAAAGAAGAAAAATTTTAAGAAACAAGTGGGTATTAAAGTAACTTTCAGAATATTATAGATAAAATATTCATAATAAAATGTACATGGGGTGCATTTTTGAAGAAAAAAGAGATTACCAGGTGGCAATAGGCAGACAATTTTTCAACTGCCATTTGCTAGATTTAGCTACTCTGTGACGGCCGTTAGCTTTGCCTTTCACAACTCCTCATTTTGAAAATTGCAGTTTCTCAGATTTATAGAAATCATAAAAGCAACAATTAAACCAAAAAAAAAAAAAAAAAAACTTAAATCTATGGTAATTTTCAAATTCAAAAAATGACTAAAGAGGAAAAAAAAAATTTATTACTTGACAAGTAGGTTCTTTGTTCAGATGATCCACCCCGACATATTCTTTCTCAAGCTGGTAAGTCAAGGCAATAATTTTAAGATCAATAGCAGATAAATTTGAATAATCACCAGTTTTCTTAGAAAACTCAGAAACTGCAATGAGATAAAAAGAACATCTGTAGGATACACAGCTTAAGTTTTTTTTTTAGCAAATATTATAATATAATACAATGCTATCATTCTGTTTGATTATTATACACTGATAATTTACACATTGCAATAATACTCTTAAAAATCGTTGCATTAATTCTAGAACAAAATGTGACATTATACAGGTCACAGTGAATGCAATTTTTAAGTATCTTCTATAATTTTTTTTTTTTTCACAGAAGGAGATTAGGAGACGAATGTTATTCTTGGGCATAATAAGGCTCATTAATTTTAAAATAATAAAGAATACTAAATATGAATAGCAAAACAAGCAATATTAACAAAAAGCAATTAAAGATAATCTAACGGGGAAATAATTAACATATAGTATAAAATTACCGTATTTTATGGACTCAGTTGATGGCTCCTTCATCAAAAGCTTGTAGGGTAGAAACTGAAGTCTTTCTCGAGTTGCTTTATCTTTTATTTCTTTCACAACTCCATCAACAGTGTATATCTGGTCAGCATACTCCTAAACAATACAACAATCATTAAAAAAAAAGTACTATAATTCACAAAAAAAAAAAAAAATCAGAAAGTTTAAATTTTTAAGATTTTATTTAATCTACAGTATCTACATATAAAAATAATTTGAAGAGCTAAAAAAAAAATTGTCATTATTTCAAAAACATTTCATATTATCAATGAAAAGGGAGTTATAACCTATTTTTAAATTGAACAAATCATAAAAAATATTGTAATAAAATATACATCATCTTTGTGAAAGGCAAAATACACTATTTGAAATATTTTACAAAGTTATGTAACTTCAGTATTAAAACATACTATATATATTTATACATATTTTTATACAAACTTTGGGGCTATCCATATACGGATTACTAATCGTAGTTCTGTACAAGATTAAAATGAATCCCGTGTTTATGGATACAAAAATGAACATATTTTAACATTGGGAACTGCTCACTTGTATTGTAGGAATAAAATATATATATATATTTACCAGCCCAGATGCAAGTATTAGATTATCCTTTGAGTTAGCCTCATTCAGTGATATTTTTTCTTAGTTTAACGACTGATGTTATTTTCAGTAACTTAATAAGAACTTATTTTTTTTTTTTAACATAAGTACTGACATTGAAATCTTCACATAGAAATATCTAAATCACAAACAACTATGCCAGCTAGATCAGCAGTTCGAAAATGGCTTTCCGTGAAGCTCCTAGGCTTCTGTGGAGAGGTCACGGTTTCTGAAGGCAAGTGAGAATTATTTTTTTTTAAATGCTAATGATTTTTTGAAGCTTGTATCCAACCAATAATACATTATTTACTTATTAGTAGGGTTGTTGTAAAATACATATTTTTTTCCAATAACAATATAATTAATAAATTACTAAAAGAAAATGCATTTACAATGATTGCATCTGCATTTCTCATCTAACTTTGAAATTCAAAGTAAAAATACAAATTCACGGAAATACAGAATTATTTCTCTCTGATCACCTGAGATTTTTTTCAAAAGCCATAATTTAACAAATTTTATAAATTTGTATTTTATATTGCAACAACTGGCAGATTTAACTCATACAGCAAAAGCGTGGTCGCTGCAAACTTGCAAATTCTACTGCCTAACATAAAACACAATTATAAAGATTTTTTGAAGAAACACTGTAACATTTCATTTATATAATATTAAACGCTCCTGTATTGATAACATATTTTTAGCACAATCCACCAAAAACACCTTTGATTATTCAGGATTCCCTAGTTGAAAATTATGAACTGCTGTTCTAGATCATGGGCCAAAAAAGAAGAAAAAAAAAATATCTACTTGTTTAGCATTATCAAACTTTTCCTTGATTTTAGATTTATCTTGATAAACCATGTCATATTTTAAATAAGATTTAGAAAACTGACTAAATAATTATTAATATATACCTTATGTTAATATGTAAATTTCCCTGGGAACAAAAGTAAAAATTATATAAAAATAATGAGCTAGTTATGAACTAGAACACAAAATATACTCCTAGTCTAAACAAAATTAAGTGCAATATGAATTATATGAGTCATCCTTTTAGTTGCTTCCCTTCTTTGATAATTTTTTTAGTTTCTCTGCCTGGATATTACAAAGACTTATTGAGCCACATATCACGATACGGAAATCTTCTTCAAAGTTTATGTTGTAATGTGTACTTAAAATACATGTATGGCAAAGCAAAAGAGAGTTAAAGTATCGATAGTAATAATAGTCAGTCGCACTAAACGTAGCTTGTACTATCATAGTATATAATTTCCCTTCAATAATAATGCGTGCAAACATAAAAAAGAGCCGTGATACATATATCAAAAGCATGATATATAGTTTTGAAATTTAGACCCTGGAATCATTATTGTCATTAAACTACCAATGCCTGAACTTTATAAAATTACTATTATACTCACATGAACGGGGCAATTTCTTATAAAACCACCAGAATCAACAACCAAATGTTTTATCCGTTTAGTATCCATTGTACAAAGATGTGACCAAAGAATTCAACACACCACGATTTCTACAAGACAGAAATGTACACAAATAATCAAAATCAATTAAACAATATGCAATCATTCATCAATACGTTATGGTTATAGGGAAAAAGGTAGTTCAGTCTTGTAATATTTTTCAAAATGAAGATTGGCAACAAAAAAGTGTTTGTTTTCATTTCGGCAAATTTCTGCTCATTAATAAGTTTTTATTTGTTTCCATTTAATTAATATGTCATTATGGATCCTTCTCAAGTAGAAAGGCTTAAACAAAGTCACCAAGAGGTGTTTTTTTTTAATTCTACTTTTTTCTTTTCTATTTAAATTATTTGAGCTTTCGTAAGAAAATATTCTTTCTGTTACTCTCAGTTATTCCCCCTAAACAGAGTCAGTGAAAGAAAATAGCTTATAAAAAGCATTTTAAAAACATGCAAAAATTATAAATTTGTAATATCGCCTAATGACAAATCACATTATTAATTTATTTAATTCAAATTTGTAAATTGGATTCGTAATATATTCAATTTAGCTATATATTTATATATTTTTTCACTTGCGCATTAGTAAATGAATAAGGTAGATTAAATTTTTAATTTGCGTTTTTCACTTTCCTATTAAAATATAAAAATGATTGTTGAATCTATATTGTATATTATATAAAAACATTACAGTTTCGAAAGTTATTCGTGTTTAATTTAATATACTCTTACATTTGTTTGAGCGACGTATAACAGTCTAATTCAAAATGTAATTTTCATATAATAGAGTATTAGGGGGCATTTCCGTATCGTGATCTGTCGCGCCAACTACAATAGCTAAAACGCCAAATGGATTTTAAACTTGCAAATTTTTTTAAACAAAATATCTAGTGATTTGCTTGGGAGTGGTTATGAGTTATAGACTTAGAGTTGGTACTTTTCCATTTCGCCGCCGCAATGAAATTCAGTTATTTTTTTATTTCTTGAATTTTTTTTTTTAAATGGACATCACCAAAAATAAAAAAAGTTTAATATACATTAACCTAGCAACTTTTCGATACTTCATCAGAGGTCTGTCCAGGCAGAATTTACTACCGTTTAGCGGTATCTTCACAAATTCAATTTTAGGAAAAACGGTAGTTTCACAAATTCAACTTTAGGAAAAACGGTAGTTTCACAAAATACTTTTTCTTAAAATTTTATTTTTGTATCCCTTAAGAAACGATAAATCTATATTTTGACCATGTTTTTGTGTCGATTTTTTAATATAATTTTTAATTTTTCACAAATTATGTCTAAATTTTCACAACATAGGTACCTCTCAGAAAAACCTAGACAGACCCCTGTTCATAGATACTTCAAGAATTGCAATATATTTTAAAATGTTAATTCTACGATGTAATCAGGAAGTTAACTATCTGTGATTAGAGGGGGATAAATCCATACATTCATGCATATTATTACCACCAAGGGTTATTTGTAAAATATTTTAAAGAATATGTGTAGTGACTTGCCTGGAGATGAGTACAGGCTATATATTTTGAGTTTGCCCCTTCTGTAATGTTTATTTAGTTTCTCATGTGTCTTTTCCCAGCTGTTTATAAATTGTGGCAACTATTTTAATGTAAGGACTGTAAATATTTCCGTATCAGCACTTACTCCAAAAGATCACCAAATTTCACAGCTCCGGACATGGACCCAGTGAAAACTATAAAAATCTTTCCAGAAAGGGACCTACTTGAAACATATAACAAGTAATCATCCCAGGACGAACCTCAAAGTTTTTTTTAAAAAAAATTTTCAAATTTAAAATTCCTTTGGTGCCTTTGTAATTTTAGTTTTTGCAAAAAGACATCAATATGGATATATCCCTATGTACTGTTAAAATCTACATGATTAGATCATTAATTTTTTTTAATGTCCTATTTTTGAACTATAATGCACTTCATTTTTAAACAGACACTTTCCCTCGCATGTTGACATAATGTCTCTGAGTTCATTATATATTTGAAAACCATTATATTGATATAATTAAAATGAATGATTCTACTAATAAAAATGTTTATTTTGTACTATAACATTTTTACCAGCTTCAGATCGATGGGTACCAGCTTGTCTGGAAAGCAAAGGTGGCCTGACTAAGGTTCCACAAAAAATTGTGGAACCTTAGTTTCCATGGGGGGCTGTCGTGGGAATGCTTTGCTTTTATAACAATTTTATGTGTGTTAGTTGTTTCTATGTGGTGACTGACTTTTTATTTTTTCGAAAGTCTGACTTTATAATATTCCCAATTATATTCTCTTAATATTTTTTTATAATGAAATATTTTTTTGTAAAATTAATTTTTCCATCCATATGAGTTAAATTTATATAGTAAATTTAAAGTTGCATTTTATTTCTTATGAGGTGATGAAAGATTTTTTATTCAAATTATTAATAAAGTTTTGCGAAAGAGTTATTGTAAAAGAGCTAACTATAAGTAGCACATAATGCAATTAACTCATAGAAATTCACTATTTATGTACTACATGTCATATAGCCAGGGAAGAAAGGTGGTTCACCTATTTTTGTGATTAAACATTTATTGTTAGGCCATTTAAATAGTGGTATAAGAAGAAATTTTTCAGTGAAGCTTCACAAGCTTTAATAGCCATGTGTAAAATTGTCAATTTGCTTACTTAGTGATAAAAATATAAAAGTATTTCCTTATAGATCAGCATGTTCAGTTATAATTTGATTTGTGTTCGTGAAACTTTTTTTTCCCATGTTGTTCTAAAGATAAACTATTTGGGAGAATTTTTTTTGAAAAATAATTGGAAAAAAAAGTTGGTTATGAACCCACCCAGTTTGAGTCGTCTCTCTTGTGCTTTTGTTTATCTGTAAACAATGATTATCACTCATTGATCTTTGTTTCTTTTAATTTCAAGCGTTTTTGCATATCATATCAAAAAAATTTCCTTTTAAACATTGACAATTAATTTTTATGAACCTTGTTGCAGAAACCTCTGTGAAAGTTTTAAATATTATTAACTTGATTATTATTTACTTTAAAACTTAAGTGTGACCTAAATTATTTGTATTCAGATGTTGCTCATGGTTGGTTTGCAAGTTTTAAAAAGCTAGAGTGTCTAATACAAACTGAATGCACTACTTGAAGATAGTTCTTAAAATTAGTTCATTGAAACTTATTTAGAGAAGATGAAAGACAAATTTTTAATACAAGAGAGATCTCATTCTTGAAAAATTTTAACTTAATTTTGTCTGCATTTTTCTAATGTATGGTATCTTTTTGTTTGCTAACCAAAAAAAATTTTTGATGCTCATTACATAGTTCTCATCAAATCCCACTTCTAATTTTATGAATTGTATCAATAACTGTATTTTTCAAATTATTTTCTGTAATAAGAATAAGAATAGACTTCTTTATTAATTAGCTGTTTCGGTCTATCTCACCTTTGTATTTTATTTTGCTTCTAAACTTATATTTGTTTTAATTTTGTTTTTCTAAATTTCAGAGTCTTCAATTATGTGAGGAAAAAATAAAACAATGGTAATTTATTTCAATTTATATAATAAACATTTTATAATATCTTTTTTTTAAGCATCTTTTAAATTTTTTATATTTAAAAAAAATTTATAAGTGCTTTTTATTTAATAACTTTTTTTAAATATGATTAAAGTAATAAAAACATATTTCGTAAATTAAATGTTAAATCTGTTCTGTCTGAAAGTTCTGTCCGTGGATAACAATGCAGAAATTTGGAGAGATTAGTACTAAATCAGGCATTATCCATGTCATCTGACTGGGGTCAAAATTGCGTAGCATTCTTACTGTGGTCCCTAGAAGATAAGAGCCCTGAAAAACTGGACTTCAAAGTTTAAGACTTGCATTTAAAAAAATCTTTTTTAGACAGATATTAACCAAATGACATTTTTATCTTCTCTTTATTTAAAGTGAATGTTTACCATTATATTCATCTTTATAAAAGTTATAATGTATATGTTACTGCAAATTTGAGTGGATTGAATTATCTTCTGTATGATAATTTCTAATATGAAGCTAATTATCAAATGTGGTAACATTTTCTGATGCTTTTTTCAAGCATGAGAAAACCTATTCATATTTGAATAGTAAATATATATTAATCATTTTTATGTTATTCAAAAGCTTTTTTAAAATTATAATCATAAAATTGGTAAATTTTGTCGTATAAGGATAAACTTTTATTATCAGTAATTGAAACTAAAATTTCATCACAGAATTTTCTTGCCTTTTCTGATAATATCAATAGAATTTTTTTTTTTAAATGTATGTTTTATGTTAGTCTTGCTGTCAATTTTTATGTGGAGAGAGGATATAATGTATTTTAAATCTTTATTATACTAAGGCACTGTGTTGAGAAAAAGTTAGTATGAATTAATTATGATTTTTTTTTTTAAACTGAAGTATACCATATTAAGCAGGATATTAAAAGGTCTTCTGAAATATTCAATATTATTGTTTATTGTATTATTTTTGCTGTTAAATTGTTGTATTAAATATGATAATTATAGCACATGCTTAATAAAAATATGCATTGATTGATTGCATACTAAGGAGTAACTTTTCTGTGGCACTTTTAAATTATTTCTTCTACATTTCTGTATTTCATATCTTTGAATAAATATTCCAACTATAAAATATTGATTCTAATCTTTATACTTACAAAACTAAATATGTTAATGTTTTTTTTCTTCTTTCTATTAACAAGGGAAAAATTCAAAAGTGACTATCAGGTTTTGAAACAGCAACTGCAATCGTTGCCCAATGAAGTGTCTTATGACATCACAGTGAGTAAATATATTTTTTTCAAATACTTCAGTTACATAGTTTTTATATATTATTTGAATATATAGTATCTTTCATTCATTCTATTGAATTTCATTCTTGAGTATTTACTTTTATCAGAACAATAAATTTCTACTAGAAACTGTAAATTTCTGAAATGAAATAAAATTGTATCATTTTCTAAGTGTATCTTATTGTATATTTATTCGTTTTACTCATACGTATAGACAGCATTGTTAAAATCATGCTGCTGGTCATAAAATTGTGAAGTGTTAACCTCCGTGACCTCCTGGTACATAACATGCTGTTGTGGAAATGGTTTATTTTTTTTTATTAACATGTGTGATTTTTCTAAAATATCACTATATGGCTACTGAATGCTATTACACAATCTGGTCAAAATTAAATTTAATACTTTAATGGGTGTTTCATTTTTTAAGCTTAATGTATAAAATTATACAAAAGAATACTGCTCTAAGAGCTTTTTGACTATGACTTGTTTGAGATAGAATTTTTGAGGGGTGATTAAAAATGATTAAACATAATTATTACTGTAATCTTGAACTAAATTGTTACTTTAATCTTAAAACCTATTTTTAAAGACTTAGAAAATTTTTACTTCTGGTTAGTAGCTGAATCAAATTGTCACTTATGTTTGACTTTAGAACTTATTTTTTAAAAAAATATATATATTCATATCGCTTTTTTATTCATTTATTTTGTGATGAGAAAATTATTTTCAAAACATTGCTATTTCTATATTGTTAAACAATTAAATATCCAAAACTTGTTTTATTTTTGTGTGAATATAAAATTTTTTATTCTAAAGAATTATAAATTTTGGAATTTTAATGTCAAATGCTTTTTTAAGTTAAAAGTTTTTTCATATAAAAGAACTATCTACTTGACAAATATGAATATGTATTAATGAAAATTTATTTGAAATTTTGTTCCCATTTCTCCCCATCCAATCTAAAACTGCATTGTACAATACGTTGAGCAAAGTTAATAGTCTTATAAGTGTGTCTGAAAGTAATGGTTTTCTTTGTGAACTTTTACAAGTCTTAAAATTACATTATATCCATCATCGTTATTATTATTATTTTAATCAAAATAAAAAGCAGTATTGGAAAGGAATGAAAGAAAGAAGTATATTTTTATTCAAATTCATTTCGGTTTAGTGGGCTTTTTTAGATAGGAAAAGGTAAGTATTTTTTTATTGATATTTTCAATCTGTTACAATTTTTCTAAAATATCCTTAAATTTTTTAATGTTTTTAAATTTTTTACTCACATTTAATGAAGTCTAGATGTTTAATTAAGAAATGTGTTTAGTAAAATTACAATGTAAAGGAAATATTTTTAGAATATTAAAAAATTATGAATCTTAATAATAAATTTTTGTTAAATTAAATATAAATTTTGCAACCCTCAAAATATTTAAAATACGCTTGTTATCTCAGAATTTTGATGTCTTTTTAAAACTTTTTATTTTGTTTTTTATTTGCTAATTAATTTTAGAATAAATTTTCAATTCTTGCCTAAAATAGAATTATTTTACCTTTATCTCTTATGTTTTTTATAATTTTTTAATTGAACATATGAAAATTGTTCAAATTTATTTTTAATAAATTTTGTCTTGTTTATTTCATTTTTATAAGAAATGTTAATCATTAACTAATGTTATCAATGCAATTATACTTTACTTTCTAATTCCCCCTATTCTTAGACCCTATTTGGTGATCAAGTTTTGTGAGTTTTCTCATTTTTTTCCTCATGGTTGGTTGGTTGGTGTCGTATCCTCTATTGCAGGGCTGTCCAACTGGAGGCCCGCGGGCTGCATGCGGCCCTCCAACACATAGTGTGCGGCCGCCAACTTTTTATTATGGCTGATCGGCCTTAGTTTTCCCATTAAAATGTAAGCAAACTGTTTCATAGTCCTCCTGTTCCATTGTTTTATAATTAATAATTCAACTAATAATTGTTATTGTATATGAGGTAAGAGGTTATTGATCAACTTTTTCAAACTGCGGCCCGCCAGGTGATCACTGACCGGAATTCTGGCCCGTGGGCTCTTTGCAGTTGGACAGCCCTGCTCTATTGAATCATATCTCATGGTGTGCTTGAATAGTCTTTGCTATCTCTATGGCATTATGTGAATATAAATCTTCTTCTGCATTTTTTCCCCATGCTTTATGAAATAAGAAAATTTATGCTGGATATTTGGAGAAACTTAAATATTGCTATCTAGACAAGCTGGGTATTGCAAGCAATTTATGAATTTATTATAAATTTTTATTGAATTAAATGAAACTAATCTTAAGAAGATAGGGTGGAAAGTTGAGAAATTTTTAAGATTTGATAAATTATGGTTTTAACTAATAAAATTTTTAGCCACCTAATTAAATTGCGTCTACTTTTGTACCTGCTAATTAGTTGAATTATTGTTTCTTGTTTATTTACTTACTTATTTGCACTGAATCATATTAAATCGAAGCAAAGTCATTATAATCAAAAGTTTATATGCTTGTAAGCCGATTCTGAGGAGGGGGGGAGCGAATATCAAGACGGACGAGAACCATTTTCTCTCTGAATGGCCCATCTTCGTTTTGTAATAACTCTTGAAGAAAACCGATTTACCAATTTATTGATTTATCAATACTTAGTAATCTTCAAAAAGCAACAGCTGGCGATCCAATAGTCATTTTTGTTAAAAACAAACTTTCCTTCTCAATTTTATTGCATTGGTAATAACAAAAGTAATATTTAATTGATATTTTTATTAGTAATGAGTAAAGCTATTAATAATAAGTTTCATTTAAATGCTATAATCAAATCAGAAAAAGTGATTCGATTAATAAATTTAGGTTCCTTTCGGGCCCAATGCTTTTTCCATGGGTAAACTTGTTCATACAAACGAAGTGATGGTATTGTTGGGTGATAATTGGTTTGCTGAAGTCTCAGGAAAACAAGCTGCCGAGATTGCTGATAGAAGGATAGCACGTAAGTAAAAATAATAACAATTTTGATATGGATTAAGAGAGTGTTGTGTCTGAAATTAAATTGTTTAAGCAGCATGGTCAGAATTATTTTTTTCTGAACTATAAATATTTTGAGTCATTGTATGATTAAATGAATTGATGAATGATGAAATTAATACTTGAAATGAATGTTAAAAATTAATTTTCAACAATATTATAAAAAAAAATTTTTATTGTTCGCATGTTATATTATTATCAATAATGACTATGAAAAAAAAATTATTGTACTTCAGACATGTTGATGCCATATTTATCTTTCGACTTCAATTATTTCTATCGAGTTTATAATTACACTGAAGTTTGGTTAAACTATTATTAGTCAATTTATCTTGTTTTCTTGAAATACAGGAACACTACTCAAATGAAACATAACTAGTCAAAGGAGTAAGTAACAAGAAAGAATATATTATATCAACATGATGAATACAGGACAATGGATAATATACTACTACTACTAAAAATGTTGATGTCTTTTTACAAGAATCTTTTATGGCAGTTACAATTGACAATTAATGGAGCCATCTAGTGGTGGTTTCTGATTTTTCCACACCATAAATTTATATAAATAAATGTGCCTTGAATTGCTTTCATTAGGATTGAACTTAGTTACCAGATTGAGTTTTAAGAATAAGGCAGGGTATTCAATTAGTAAATTAACAATCTTGTGTAGAATTGAAAAAAAAAAAAAAAACTTTTGGGGTTATTAAAACATATTTTATCATTCACTTTATAAGGAATCTTTTTATTTTAGTATATTTTGTTAGCATTTTTAAAAATAATATTTTTTAGTTTCTCTTATAAATTAAAATAAATGTTTTTTTTAACTACTTATTTTTTTAATTATTAATTAGCTTTAAATTCAATTACAAACTTGCAGTTTTTGCAATAGAAACAAAAAAAAAAAAAAAAAAAAGAANAAAAAAAAAAAAAAAAAAAAAAAAAAAAAAAAAAAAAAAAAAAAAAAAAATCTGAGATAATTTCAAGAGCATCCAAAATTATTTTTTTTAGTATTTTTCTTAACTAGGAAACAAAACTTTTTATAGGTTATAGATAATCTCATATATTGATAAATATTATCAGATTAAACTTAATACCATTTTGATTTTATCACAATGAAGTTAAAGAAATCACATTAAGATATTTCTGGCTGAGTATATTGATGATGACCCATGTGTAAAATCCAATAAATGTTCTTAAAAATGAAATGTTTTAAAATATATTTAATTCAAGATTTAAGCTCAAATAGATAAAAAAATTTTTTTAATTAATTGATATAGGTTTGTTTTCTTATTTGGGATAATTTATCTCGCATCACTATAATACTATATTATTTAAATTAAATTTTAAATATTTTCTGCATTTGATTGATGGAAATAATATATTTGGGCATAAGTGTCGCACAGATTTTGACATTAGTTCCGCCTTTCACAAATGATAACTACGGAGCCTTACACTCTTTAGGCTTGTCATTTTTTTAAAAATATTATTTTAAGTGATGTTAAATAAAATGAAGACAAGTTTTATTTAAGACTTGTTTTTTTCTCTCACTATTTTTAACTCTCCATACATTATCACTATTTTTAACTCTCCATACATTTTACTAAGATCCAAGTGAGAGCTATTTATATTGAATTTATGATATAGTTGTGTCTCAAAGTCAGTATGATGCTAAAATATATTGGTGCATATGATTTTAAATGAAAGTTATATTACATTAATAAAGGTAGATTTTTCCTTTTATATCTATTTTGTCACATACCAGCAACGTAATATAGATTTAAATCTAGATATATATTTTAACTTCAGTGTCTAGATTCATCTCTTTTTCAGAGATACAAAAGTCTTAGGGTTAGATCCAAAAATTTTATTTGACTAAAAATGAAAAGTTTGCTGCTTTCAGTTTTCTGGTGTAGAAAAATGTTAGGATTAGAGCTATATTGTTGTTAAACTAATAATGAAAGGTTTCTGTTGGTTTCTAGAGATACTCAGAACTTAGCTTCTTTCTATTGTAGTGCAAATGGCTAAAAAGTCTCTTCTAAATTTTTTTAATTACATTTGACTGGAAACTGTATTATTATTATAACTGTGAATTGTATTATTGAAACTGTATTATTGAAACTGTATTATAACTGTGTAATTATAATAAATATAAATGCAAACAAGTTTAATCAATTATTTAATTAAAATTGCTTAATTTTAATTGGAATCTCAGATATTTTTAACCTACAACAAGTGGTAAGAACAATATCCCAGCATGAGATGTTAGCTTAACTTTTAACGAGAGGAAAACCAGTAATATTTATAAGACTCCTGAAGATTCTACTACATGGTGCATAGCTTTTTTAAAAAGGCCTCAAATAGTAATAATAAATGATATTGAAAAAAAATTGTGAAAAATTTATCTTGCATGAGTCTTGCATTTTTATGCAAAATTCTAAAAGTTTGGCAGCAAAGGGGGATTGGCAGTCATAAAAGTAAGAGCTCCTGATCCTCTTTATTAACCTCAGTCATATTTTTTTTATGCAAGATATTGCTTCCCCCACCCTATCTCTCAAATTGATTAAACAGTATTTTTTAATTTGAAGTTTATAGGAATATTTTGAGGTCACTGAACTCATTTAACATTGTATGTGTACCCAAGGTAAACTATAATTTTAATCATAATATTATTTTAATCATATAATTCAACTATAATCTATAATTTTATTCATATAATTCAACAGCTAATTCAGTTTGAAAAGCAATTTTTATTCCTGTATTTTACAATTTTATTCATGTATTCAATTTCTAAATAAAATTATTTAATAATTTATTTGTTTCAGAATGTGATAAAATGTTGGACGATTTATCAAAAGAGAAAAACCAGTTTGAAAATTGGTTAAGCTACATAGGTGAAGTGTGTGTGAGTATTTTTTGTTTTTACAAAGTTTTAAATTGGAAAAAATATATATATAGTTAATTTTTTTCTCTTCAAATTGATGAAATATTTCTCTTAACTACACTAATGTAATTACATATTTTTCACATGATTAACAATTTTATTTTTGTAAAGAATTCTCATTTTTTGTTAGTCAGTTCTATTTACATTTTTAGGTAATTACCCTCACAAGATGAAACAATTTTTTTGTTAACGTATTAAAAATAATGTTTTCTTTATTATGTACAGTGCCCGCCGTTTATTAAAATCACTTTCGTTTTATGCTCTTTTGATTTTATTAAGCGGCTGATTTTATTAAGAGGCGATTCAACATTTGAAGAAAAAAAATAAATAATTTATGATATATTCTAAATGCACACGCTTTAAAAGCTGAAATAATGGCCGCATTAATGCTTTATTTTAACTAATTTAATTATTTTAATAAAGTAAAACCCTACATAAGATTAAATTTACAAAAGTTTTGCAAAAAACCGATCAATGGTTGCTTGAGTTGCAGTATTTAAAATTAACTTTTCAACATCATTTGAGAGTTTATAGAAGTTTTTATAGTTTTCGATATTCCTCCTCTTTGTTCTACAGCTTGCCGCAATACATTAAGTGCTTTTCTGACTTCCATTGAAGATGGCACTGGTGAGTTTATTTCATCTTCTGAGTCTGATTCCTCTATTTCTTGATGGGAAATAACTTTGCAATTTTTGATGTCTGTAACAATTTTAGAATCAGATTTTTCTCCTGATGTTTGCAGGTTATCGTCAATAGCTACGTAACATGAAAAATTCTCGTCCATTTCATTTTCTTCATTGCTGATCATTTCTTCGAAACAGTTATGAGCCCCATCTCCATCTTGTAGCTTCACGTTGACTACATTTAGGAAGCTTATCATAGTTTTGCGATGCTTCGAATTTATCTTTAAAACTCAAAACCTTCCTTTTTGGCATGCTGAGAAAATTTAACACCAAACGAACTTAAAAATGATATGTGCTCTAACTATAATTTACTCAAACGGCTTAAATAATAGGGAACATGTGCACAGACAGTTTTTGGAAATCTATTGATGTTCTCTGTTAAAATAGATAACAAAAGAAACTTCTCTCCCTTCTATGGTTCATTCAATAAAAAGTAAGATAAGAATTCGACCCCCTGTTGAGTGAGATAGGTTTCTCCAAACTTCATTCAAGTCAAGAAATTAACATTGATAAATTGATTTCTATGAACTCGCCGATTACCACCTGCATTTTTCCTTAACTTTTACACTATGTATATAGCAGGAAAGTGCTAACCACACCTGTTTCACAGGTTTGTGAGTAACTGTTGCTTCTTCTAAAAAAAATCTTTAAACTTCGAAAAAATGAAATTTTATAAATAAGAACAAAAAAAGCTGAAATAGTGCACCTTTGATTTATTTTATAGTCAAAATTTTGATTTTAAAAAGCGGCGGCATTGATTTTATTAAAGGATGTTTTTAACATGTATTAATATTGTAACGATTCGGTTCTTGCCGATTTGATTTTATAAAGCGGCTGATTTTATTATCCGGTGATTTTATTAGCGGTGGGCACTGTAGTAATTTTTAACAAGCAGATTTTAAAATTCTTCTAATAAATTTGCTATAAATAATATTTTAAATTTACTACTTGTAAGATTGATTATACTTTATTTGTATTCTAGAATGATGATTTAGTTGAAATAGTGGAAGAATATGATGAAGAAAAAGAAAAAGAATGGCGAAGTAAGTATAAAAAATATATAAATTGGGAATTTCACCATTACAGGCGTATCCTTTGAATGCATATAACTCAATTTAAAATTAGCAAATACTTTTAATATTTTTGTATTGATGACTCTTGGGAAACTCTGAAACTTCTTAACTTCTAAGAAAATTAAAATTTAAAAAAAAATAAAAACTGACTGTTACAGGTCTAAAGTTTAGAAATATAATTGTTTGGCCTCTCTCAAATATATTTACATCTAACGGGCATCAGTAACAGTATTTATTAAATTTTTTAAATTTGAATTCTTAATTTGTAAAGTTTAGATACATTACCGCTGCAACACAAAATAGTATGTCTGGAACATCTATTTTTTTAAAAAAGTTTAATGCGTGGAAATTTTTTTTATGGCTTTTAGCTTGGTTCTAACAATAATAAAAGAACCTTAATTTTGAAAGGAAAAAAAATTTAAATTTCGCTTAATTTATGTTACAGATGTAACGTCCCGCAGTGGACTGATCGTTAAGACACGGTTCCCAGCAGATCACCGAAGGCAAGCATCACTGACTGCGGTCCGTGTGCGGGTGGGTGACCACTTGGAACAGTCTGCGTAGGGACCGAGGGTGTGCGGTATTGGTCCTCGTTAAACTGTTCTACCGTAAAGTGCTCGACTTCGCATGCAGGTCGTCGGGCTACCGAAGCGGGGGTGCCATCCCCTCTGCAGAGGATCAAAATTGTGATGGCATGTCTTCGGATCATCCTCAGGGATGTTTCCCAGACCGTCGCCAATAGCCCATTGTGCAGCTCTAGTGCGACGTAAATGAACAACTCAAAAAATCAAAGTTACGGATGTAACAAAAAGCTTGACATTTGAATTTCTAAAATTACCAAATTTTTTTTTCCAAAAATTTATTTTTTCTGTTCATAATTGTAGTATAATGTTACCAAAAATAATATATACTGTGAAATATCCTGTTATGGATACTCCCGCAAAACGGACGGCTCTCAACACGGGCATATTTTTAATATCCCGAGAATAATGACAGTAACCTACTGAAAAAAAATTTTCATCTAGCTCAAGTAACACAAGAGCATGAGGAGGACTTAAGGTTTTATGAATAGATGCAGTAGTGGAAGATAGTCTACTCCTCAAAAAAAAAATGGCAATCTTTTTTAATTTTTTAGATATATCTAATAGCTGTGAGTGGTAACATCTAGTTCAGAAAGCCTTTTCCCAGCCTGAATGTCACCCCATGAATAATGACGATGATCTCCTGAATTTCAGAATATGATTTTAAAAAAATCATTTCAAATTCATGAAATGGAACGCAAATAAATAATCAGGCCTTACTAGTGTTTAACGAGTTAGTCGTTTATACCATGACATTTATTAAATAAAAAAATATTTTTGCTACAAAACTCCTCTGTACAACAAAGCTGCTCTAAGCAATGTTATTATGCAATCATATTTTAATGCCAATTATATTTTTTTCTCAGTAAATTTTACGTTAAAATAATTTTTGACATATTTTGTCATGTAATGCCAACCTTGAATACACATCGAAATCAAAGCAAAATAGATTTCAGTCGCAGCTGACTTCAAAACTTGGCGTCTGATGACGTATGTTGACCACTCCGCAAACAGGCCAATCAGAGGTTGGTGCTCATTTGCCATTGATGTCCAGTTACATGAACCTGTCCTAACAAACCATCTCTTAAGATAAAGGCTTTATTTTCTTTTAGTTAAAGCAATTATAAAAATACCTGTTTATATATTAAAATTACAATTAAATAATTTTTTTTTTTTTTTTTTGCTGAAAATTAACGCTTTGTCTAGATGAAGCGTTTAGTATCTTTAAGACAGTTAAAATTAACATATTTTAATTTGTTTTTTATTTTTTAGCAAACTTCTTGGTGATGAAATTATTTCTAATGTTTTGTTAGATTATTGCTGCTTCCATAGTTAACACACATATATTTTTTTAAAATCTATTATTTTGACTGCAATTTTCACAAATTATTTGATAGCATTTTGCATACTATTTTTTCAGTAATGTTTTATTTTTGTGATTTTAGTTCAGCATTCAAAGAATGTCAAAGCCTATCGACAAAAAATTTCTCAGGAGGCAAAACATAACCATTCCAACGGAGAAGATGGAGATAGTAATTTAGATGATGATGAGTTCATAGCCAAATTAGAAAGTCTTGAACTAATGGAGACATCTGAGAATAGGGAATTGTCTGATTTAGAAGAGAATGATGAAATATCACTTTCAAAAGAATTGTCTGAATCAGAAGGAAATGACAGTGAAATTTCACCTTTGAAAGAATTGTCTGAATCTGATGGAAATGGTTGTGAAATACCATCTTCTAAAGGGCAGTCTGACTCCTTCACAGACATATCCAGAAGTGACGATATTGAACTTCAATTGGAGGAGGAAAAAAGTAGCAAAACATCTCTAAGATTAAACATTAATTGTACAAACGATCTGTAAGTTGTTAATATTGTTAGACTTTTGTAGTAATTTTATATTATGTACTGATGTAGTTTCGATTATTTTTGTTTTTTTAATATTTCTGTTTTTTTAAACACTTTTTACTCAGAAGGATTTTTTTTATTGGGTTCATATTGAGAGTTCAAATTTTTCTCTTTACGATTTTATTTATTGTGTTTATATTTAATATGCGAATGGAAAAAAAATACTTGCAGTAATTATGATTTTTTATTACAGTTCCTTTTCTTCATATTTTACTCCATTTTTTTAAAAACTTTAATTTAAATTTAATTCATATTTGCTCTGCTATTTGTTTAAATTAAATTGTGTTAATTATCTTCAACTCCTAATCAGTTTGAAATCCAGCTACATTATTATTCATGAAGTAATTTTTCATTTATTTATTTATTTATTGTTTTATCTTAAACTTTAAACGCGTTCCATATATTTAGGTACATTCTGCAATAATTTTGAACTTTCCTTTATTGTATTTCTTCCAGAAAAATGTGTTGGTTATAAACGTAAATGTTTTCTAATTACAATCAGCACTAAAACAAGTATCTCATAGAACAAACTCTTTTACAATCACAAGTGTACACAAAGAATATATACAGGTTGCCAACAAAAGAATAACGTAAGAAATAATATAATAAATAATCACTGCATTTGCATTCACGCATTTGCGTCTGGTAATCACTGCATCTGCGTTCACGCACTTGCGTGTGGAACATCATTGAAATTAAAAATTTTATACACTTAGAAAACGAATAAGAAAACATTCAAATTAACGATTATAATGTTTAGGCTAATTTTTTAATTTATATATATAATTTATCATGTGTATATCTTAGTACTAAATATAGTGATTGAAAAATTCAGTTAAAAGACGTTCACATTTACATAATCAATTTTTTGTTATGAAGGAGAGAGAACAAACAATAAAATTCGATATATAAACTAAATCTTCACTAAATAAGTTTTTTGTTAAAACTAAAATCCTAATTTTATGCAATAGATGCAAATGTAAAGTAGATGTATTGGATAAACAAAACTTAAGAACCATTTTATTTCCATAACACAAAGAATATTAGCTGCACAATATTTTTTTCACTACAGTTTGATAAAATAATTTTTTTAGAAAATTTAATTTTCTGATTTTTTCATCAGCAATGCCCATAAATTTAAATCATAAAATATCATTTTGAAAGAATAAAAACTTTTTTTGATAATGTCTTTGTTTTCAAAAAACTAATTTTTTTTTAAAATAATTAATTCATTTTATGATAAAATAATTACAAGTTAGGTTTTTAAAAATATAATTTTAAATTTAATAATATGGATTAAATTTTCAATATAAGAGCTCAATATATCACTTCTCACTTTTTTTAATCTCAAAAATAATAATAAAAATACATATAAAAATATGTATATTTTTAAATATTAGCATTTGAAAAAGTTGCAATCTTCATTTATGTCCAATTCAGTAATTTTGTTTATTAAAATAAAAACAAAATTGCTTATTAATTATAGTTTTTAGAGAGCAATATTGAGTCGCAAATTGTTCATAAACACACCAAAAAAATCTTAACCATTAATTAACCATTTTTGTTTGATTATCTTGATTTGATTGTGATTGTTGATTTTAACTTTAAGAGTTACTCTATCTCACCAGTCTCTTACTCAAACTATGTTTTTGCTATCTCGCATTATAGACACTTAAATTCGATTGAGGTATATTGCACTTTTACATATTAATTCTTGGTTTTGAAGAAGAACTAATTATCGGCTATGTCAACCTATCAAAAGGTACCTCTAGATAGAATCAAGTTAACATGCCTTATATACTAGTCAATTGGTATTCAATATTTATAGTGGTAGTTACGCCACATTACTCCCCTTTCAGAATTTTATCTGTGATAGAATTCGATGAACAAATTCCACTAGTTGATTAATGCTACTTTTTCCCCTTTTTTTTTTATTTATTTCATTTTGCTCATTATATATTTTTTTATAGCATTTCGCTCATAATTTTTTTCATTCATTTTCTGTTTTTATACCATTTCCCTAATTTTTTTCCCTTCATTTTTGGTTATAGCATTTTGCTCATTACTTTTTTTCTTCAATATTGCTTATTACCGGGAGACTTTATTTACTTCACCTTTTTTTACATTGAGCAATATATATTTTTTCCAAGCAAATCAACTGTTTAATGTGGACCATCCATCAATGTTGGCAAGTTCATATCACGTCGGCAGGTTACCATTGAAGGAGAATTAATTATCGACTATGCCAACCTTCATCTATCAAAAATTCCCTCAAGATAGCATCGAGTTAACATGTCTTATATACTAGTGAATTGGTATTCAATATTTATAGAGGTAGATTTCATATACATATACAGGAACGGGCAAAATCTCTCTCTCTTTTTTTACTAAGATAATAAGGTTCCTTAATTGACCATCATCAGATGCCCCGATTGGGGAAGTCTCATTACAGCTCCTGTACTAAACTTATAGAATTTTGTTTTTATAATGATTTTGCATATCTTCATAACTTCTTCTGCTGGCTGTATATGAATTGGGTATAGTAGACCATTTTTCTTTTTTCAGAAATTCAGTTCATGAAACAGAATCAGGTGATGATGAAGATGGTAGTAAAAGCGATGATGTGAATGCTAATCTGGAAAATTGTAATGCAGGATCACATGAAAAGCATGTTAGGTGGCAAGATCTGTCCAAGCAAAGCATTAAAAAAATAACTTTCAAACACAGTAGAAGCAAACATCACAACCATTCGAAACACCAAATTAAAAGACAGGTTAATACAATTGTTCTTATATTAATTCATGAATTTGAATGTACTGTGATCTATGCATTTTATAAAATCCAATACACTAAGCAAAATCTTCCAAATTTTTTTCAAATCACACAGCATTTTAACAATAATAATTTTTTAAATTAATTCATTTATTTGAATTTAAAATCGTTTAATTTTATTTGATGTGATGAAAAAAATTAAATGCTTAATTTGTCTTTTTTTTCTCCTGATACATCTCTACTCTTTTTGAAAAGTACATTCATTATGAAATCCTCTGAAGTGCATGTACAAAAAAAAAAGTCTGTTCTACCTGCAGACTTTGTGCTCCTAACAATTGTTGCACAATTGACAATTTCTTGTTCTGATTTGTGCTATTAGTTCTAATAAATGACCAAAAAAAAGAAAAAAATAACATATTTGAGGTTTAATGATATGAATCTATTGAAAATAAAATATTTATTCAAAGAAAGTACATTTTTGTATCTGATTTCAAATTTAATTAATGGATGGGATAATTAATTGTCCTTCTCTTTTTTTATTTATTTCGCCTTTCTTCCTTTACTTATTTGACCAGCCTTGTTTTTTTTCTGCTTAATATACTTTCAATGTTTTATTTTAAATATTCAAGGGGTTCCAGTTAAAGTAATGAACCACAAACAAGCATTATTTTGACAAGAGAAGCAATGAAATATGAAAAAAATGGATAAATTAGACAACCAAAGCTGACATTTTCAGGGGGTACATGCTCCGGAAGTCATAAAAGCAAAACCTTTTCTATTGAGAGAGCACGACAAAAAGTCTAAAATTGCTCTCCTGTACACCAAAGGTTTTGCCAAAGTCCAGGAAAAGAAAACAATACATAATATAAGATATAAAATACATAAAGCTAATATGGAAGAATAAAAACAATACGTACTATTCGTATGTATTTGTTTCTTTTTATTCTTCTGTATTTGCTTAAGGTATTTTATATCTTATATTATGTATTATATTCTTTTCCTGGACTTTGGCATAACCTTTGGGTTACAGGAGAGCAATTTTAGACTTTTGTCGTGCTCTCTTGATAGAAAAGGTTTTGCTTTTATGACTTAAGTATCTGGTACCCCCTGAAGACGTCAACTTTGGTTGTCATATTTATCCATTTTTTTCATATTTCAATTCCTTTCGGATTCACTGCTGCTTTGATCGTTTTTCCATAGGAAGTATTATTTTTAATTGCTTTTAAAATTTTGAATTCCTTTCTTAATTATTTTGACAAATTGTTTGCTCATTATATGTTTAAATAGTCACAGAATTGCAGTTACAATGATGTACTGCAACCTTAGATTATATAGTATTTTTTACCTTAGTATTTTTTTACCTTAGTATTATCTTAGTATTCAACCTTAGTATTTTTTAAGTGTCTGCTTTTTAGCATTTGTAACATTGGAGTTAGAGTAATGAAATATTTGCTCATTAGATTTTTAAATATCCACTGGATTCCAGTTAAAATGATGAACCTTTAGTCGTTGACTATTTTCTCATTTTATTTTTAAATTCTTTTAAAAATCCGCCTGATTCCAATGAAATTGATGATTCCTTGCATAGTTTAGAGATTTAAATGTTTGCTTTTCCCAGGATTCGAGTGAAAGTGATGAACCACAGCCCCTTATACAGAGCCCTTCTGATATCTATAAACATTTTGGTAGTTTCTTCCAAGCTTCCTCACCCAAGTCGATATTAAAGGTGAAGAATTCTCCATCTACTCCGGATGGGAATGAAACTTTCTTTCCAGTGGATGATATGGTGCCAAATGATAGTTCTCCAGATCTCAAAAGTGAAAATATTGTGAATGTAAGATTCTTCTTATTATGTTACCCTTTATGATTTTCTTTTATACAGGGTGTCTGCTACATATTAGTTTTTCAAATTCATGATTTTCATAACTAATTCCAAGAATTTTTCATGACTTAACGAAGTTCTTTTTTTCTCCAACAAAAATATATTAATAAATTTGAAATTAAAAAAATATATATTATAATAACATTAATTTAAATAAGTATAACCAAAACTTAGACTCTGCATCTTCATATTTATAGATTTTAAATTTAAAAAAACAGAGTAAAGAAAGAATTGAAGCAATAAAATAGCTGAAAGAAATACATAAGCAAATAATTCTTTTTTCTGCAGAATTATACTCTAAAGATACTTTTTTTGTTCATCTGAAAGGAAAGAAATACTTCTGATTTTTCTGTTCTCATTTCGGAATTTAAAAAATTCGTCAATGACTGGTATGCTTCAGCAAGAATTTTAAATTGATAAAATAAAAAAATAAATTATAAATAAATAAAAAAAAATCTGAAATCACAGAAGTTTTAAAGATAATTCGCTCTAGAAATGACGTTCTTCTTTTCATTTTTTTAAAAGAACATGATAGAAACATTTTATATTTTTATAAAATATGACAGTGAGTGGGGATTTTGCTACAAATTCAGATATTCGGAACACCATGAAATTGGGTGGGGTGGGGGTAAATTCCATCTTAAAAATTAGATTTTTCAGCAACCTAAATCCATGACTTTCCATGATTTTTTTTGAAAAAATAGTTGAAATCATGACATATTTTGTTCAATACTGAAATCCATGACTTTCCAGAAGCGTGGATACCCTGCCTTTATGATTTTCTTTTATAGTTTCAAGTATCTTAATACTTTAAATTATAAGATAATATTTGAATACATTTAAATATCAATTTATGAAAGAAACAATCTTGTGATGCCATTATATATTTCCTAGCTTTTAAATTTCTTTTATTTTATAAATTTAATCATTCCTGATCCCTTTTTTAAAAAATAAATAATTTAATTCAATTTTATAAAGACCAAATGCAAATACTTCTACTCAATAAATGTAACAGCTATTTTTTTTTCATGCAAGTGTATAGCTAATTATTATTCAACGTCACGACAATTGAACATCAAACTATTTAATATTAACTCGAGATAACGTGAGGTTAGTTGAATTTGCTTTTCTTTTGGCAGTGTTCATTTTTGATAATACGCCTAAAATTCCTCATTAATTAAAAACTGCTTTTGATTTGGCAGGTCGTGGGGGTTTATCTCTCACTATGCAAAATTTAAGATTTTACTTGAAAAACAATACTTTACTAAAACAATACTATATACTTATAAGGTCTGCAATAATTTTTTTTTTTTATTATTATCATTAAGATTTTATTTTCATCTGCTACAATCAGACATTTTCCATTAATTCTTTTGGTTTCTGCATATTTTTCAGTTATAAATTGTATGAAATGTACTGTTGTCCTAAGAAAAGAGCACTGTGTTTGCTCAATTTTTTATAAAAATGTTACATTTGTGTTCTAAAACTTACAATTAATTACATGTATTAAAAGATATCATAAATAATTGATATTGTAATAAATGAAATATATATAACAGTGTTTCCCAACGTGGGGCCCACGCCCCACTGGGGGGCAATTTGATTGTTAAGGGGGGCAATTCGAAAATGGACTCGACAAGAGTTTTACCTATTTGCTCCGGGCCATTTAAATACAATGCTAGATTTCGATGCCAACATTGTAAGAAAAAAAGCAAATTCTAATAATTAAATTCTAATAATTAATAAATAAATAATTGCGGTCAATGAATATTATAAATTCGTTTGATGAGACCAAAATATCAACTGGGTTTTTGGCGTCGTCAAGTTAACTAACCTCCCTGCGGCATATGGCAGACTCCGCATAGACCCCTTGACGCTTTAAAATTTCGCTAAACAATGCAGTCGTTCGCATCTGAATGGCCCGTCGCAACTTCTGTTGTGTTTCGCAACATTCAGTGATAGAAATCAGTACCATAGTATGTCTTTTATGCCTGCAATGCAACAGTAAAGTCTTTATTTACTGCTCACACTTCAACCCATAATTGTATTCTTGAGGCTAGCTATGAAATTTCTTTATTCATCGCTAAATTTGGAAGAAATCATACTATAGGAAAGAATTAAATAACACCGTCAATATCAGCATTTCTTAAAACGGTTCTTGAAAAAAATGTAAAAGCTATGCCACTCAATAACAATACTGTTAGCAGAAGAATAGACGAAATGAGTGAAGATATTGAAAAACAACTTGTTGACAAGCTAACAACAAGAAAATTCTCAGTGAAAATGGATGAATCAACTTTGATAGACAGTGTGGCAGTATTGATAACTTACGTAAAATACTCGTATATTGATAAAGGGCATTTTGCTGAAAAAATGTTGATATGTAAAAGATAAGAAAGCACCACTACCTCCAAAGATATTATATAATAAGCTAAAAAAAACTACTTAGATGTCAATAATATACTAATGAAAAATATAACATCTTGTGCTGCAGATGGTGCTCCTAATATGATGGGCAAGAAAAAATGCTACTTAAAATTGATGAAAGATGAGAATCCACAAATGATTCTTGTGCATTGTGTTCCTGCATAGGGAATAAAGTTGAGCATAGGGAGAAACTTGGTAGCTAAAAACATCTCGCCTGCTCTAAATGAAGTACTTACATTCAGTAATAAAGTGTATCGATGCTATTAAAGCTAATGCCAAATGTGAGCTCCTCTTCAAGCTGTTTTGTGAAAAACAAAATGCACACCATGTGAGACTTTTACTTCACTCTGAAGTAAGGTAGCTCTCTAAAGGGAACTGCTTGAAAAGATTCATGGAACAGCTTGATACTCTTAGTGATTTTTTAAGCGACAAACCTGATATGAAGTATCTGTTAACAGTCGAAGGTAAAGCATTTGTGAGTTATTTAGCCGATATCTCTGAAAAACTAAATATATTAAATAAGCAACTTCAAGGAACAAATAAAACTCTTGTTGATGAAAAAACGAAGATATTTGGTTTCATTACCCTTATTGAGTTAAGTCAGAAAACAAAAACTTGGATCAGTTTAATTGTCCCCAAAAATTAAAAGTAAATGATGCCGCTTTTACTTGTTATTGTCGATCATATGAAAATTCTATCGGCTGATTTAAAAGAAAGATTTTCTGATTTAAAACAAATAGATTTTTCAACACGGATGATGCAGCCAATGTTAGTGCATTTGTCTGTTATATGAAATAAGCAGTATCAAGAAGAACTCTCAGAAATGCAAAATGATAAGTCAGTTAGAACTTTATTTTATAGAAAAGGAGTGATGGCATGGCTTTGTGAGGAAACAGAAATCAAATACCCAAATTCAACCAAATATGCAAAAAAAACTATTGTTACCGTTTCCATCTTCATGTTTAACTGAATGTGGATTTAGTGCTGTAAATGATTTACTGGTAAAAAAAAAGGAAATCGCCTGGATATAACACAGTGGGGAGACTTGAGGCTGAAGCTAACCAAATTGGAAACTAACATAAAATCTCTGTGCAGCAAGCGCAAGGATCTGTCTAAATTAAAATATTAAATTATTATAGAAAAATCTTTATGAAAATTATTTCGAATTTGAATTTTAGTTTTTTATTATAAGTCGAAATTTTACTTACTGTGTTTCGTCAACAATTTTCAAGAGATTTCTCACTGAAACCTATAATTTAAGTTTCTTATGTGAACAATTCAATTTTTTAATATTAAAAATTATGTGTATGTCACATAAGGGGGCATAAGAATTTTAGAAAGGCTTGAGTGGGGCACGGCACAAAAAAGGTTGGGAAACATTGATATATAAGAATGTCAATTAAGTCATCAACCCATTACTCATGCGTTATCAAACTATTTTCATAAAATATTGAGAACTTTTAAATTTTAAGAGACAGTAATTTTTCTTTTATTACTTTTTTTAACAAAATAAAGGTTAAAATATGTGCTAGGGCATTTGAGTTTTAATACCATAGAAGAGACATAATTTGTAACATTTAAAAATACTTGAAATTAATTTTATGCAATTCAAGAACACTTTTTTTTTTCATTCACGGGTTTAAGATATGAACTATCTTTGATTTAAATAAATATCGAAGTATTTCCTGATAGCATTTTATCATAAATTTATCAGTCAGTAAAAACTTGATTAACTTAAAGTGTTCTTAGTAAGTAATTTAGACATATTTGTTTTGTAAAGTATTGGAACAAAGTATTGTAAAGTATTGTTTTGTAAAGTATTTGTTTTGTAAAGTATTGTTAGTAAGGATTGTGTACGTTACAATTATATAAAAAATATTAAGGCTTTTTAGTATTGAAGTCCATATTTGTTGTGCTTTTTACTTAGCATGCTATTTCGATATAAAATAGCGCATTAAACAGCACATTTGATTTATGTATATAATTATTTCCTTTATTATGCTAGTAATTGGATTATTTTTTCAAGGCTTTTACTGGAAAAGTTTATGAGCGATCTAGTCCAATCCATATACCTGAAAAGAAATCTTCGTCCAGACCATCGTCCCATTTTAAAAATACCCGTAAGAATCGTCGAAGATAATCAACTTCCATATTCCATCAATCTGTACCAGTGATAAATCTGTACAACAGTGTTATATTTTAAATATAACAAATAAAATTTATGTTTCTAAAGTTTGTTGTTCATTGTAGTTTTGATAACTTTATAATGAATGAAAGCATATGCAGGGTGCACAAGTATTAAAACACATCTCATATTTAAGTGAAGCTTCAGGTGCAAAAAAAAAAAAAAAAATGAAAAGGGCCAAATACTTTATATATATATAAATGGAAACTTCTTTAATTTGCATAGCTGCCAACCCTTCTGCATTTTGCAGAAGCTTTCTGCATTTTTACTTATTTTAGCTATTTTTTCCTCTTTTATGCGCAGAAGATAAGATCTTCTGCATTTTGCCCATCTGCCTGATAGCTAGTATTTTCTTTAAGTCAGACGTCGCTGTTCCTCTTGTAACAGCGTTTGGCAGGGATGAACTACATTTTTAATCGAATATTGTACCATCAAGTAGCTGATCGAAAGTTTTTTTAAAAGATATTTCCTTTTTTGTTTTAAAAAAAGATGAGTATTGCTTTTTTTTGTTGCTAATATTAAGTGGATTTATAAATAAATAATTAATTAAAATCCGCTTCTTTTATAAATTTATTGGTAATTAGTATGTGCCTGCAAATCTTCTGCATTTTTAGGCATTTCTTCTGCATTTTTTTTGTCTATCTTCTGCATTTTTATAACTAGAGGTTGGCAGCTATGAATTTGTATGTTAAGGTTACACAACATTTTGACTCATAATCGCAAAGTATGGAGGGCAGAATATCACATCAACAAAAATATTGGGTGTTAGTGTCTTATACATACAAGTCTATTATGAATAAATAAAATAAAAAATCGGTATTTATGTTATTTGGCCTGAGCACAAGATAAAACATTATACTGTGTGTGTGATCAGGCATTTTTCTGAAAATTTAAATAATTAGTATTAGAATTTTTTTTTAAAAATTAATAACACTTATTAATGCAATATCTTTTTCGGTTTCCCATCTATTTTTAAGTGGAATAAAATAAATTGATTTAATAATTGGATAAATTATTAAGCTAATATATTTTTTTCCTAAATTACTAAAAAAGATGGAAAAACAAACAATGCAATAAGGTTAACAGCATAAATCTATTCTAATTTCTACATTTCCAAAAAAATATGACTTTTGTAGTTGACTACAGCTACAATTTTTTTTTTTTTTTTTTTGTGCTGACTATGAATTTTATTTGTACCTATGTTCAAAATAGTTTTGAATAAAAATTTAGCTTATTTTAACATAAGGAATTATTATGAAATATACATTCCTGTTTACATGAGCTAGTTTGTTATTAACTATTTTTTACGAATTTGTTATTTTTTCAACGTTTTGTACCTTTCTCGACAATTATTAATTTGAGAAGTACTAGAAATCAAATACTTAAATAAATAAAATTTATAAGCATTTAATGCTCTTTTATTTCCTCAATGAAATAAAGTATCATCAATATTTCACAAGTGTAGATTCGCATTTGAGTTTGGCCAATATTCATAATGACTTAATTAAATATTCGTAATATTGTTACTTATCCTAACTTCTGGTCTATTAAATTAGTATATTCTGCCTAGACCAGTTTAGATAGTTAAGTATTCTCATTTATTAGTTAATCGACCCACGAATATTTGTAGCAACCAAATTTAAAAAATTATATTTGTTTGAAACTAGTTTCTTACTAAACAAATATTAAAAGTTCTTGCTAGAAATCACTACAAACTATAAAAGTGTAAATACATATTTTAAACTCTTAAAACTTGTTTTAATTTTCCAACATTTGCATGATTACGACAAAAAAAAACAGCAGTTCTCTTTCTTTTAAAAAAAAAATCTGTTGCAGGTCAGAGACAAGATAATTTTTGAGGAGCATGCTACTCAGTCATAATTCTAACAAGATTAAAAAATGAAAGAGTTATTTTATGTGTAAGTTTTTAAGATATGTTTTTGTGCAGTTTTTGAAAGTGACGCAATAAGTACAGTCAAACCCCGCTATAGTGAACCTTCAAGAGACCAAAATTTCGGTTAACTATTTTCGCTCCGCAAACAATTTTAACTAACGGTTCCGAACTCCTCTTTATTATGCATTATTTAAATAAATGACCAATAAAATGAAATAAAAAAATGCCTGAAAAATAATACTTAGTAACAAAAAAATGTATTAACTTGCTTTTATTTCTCTTTGTCTTGTGTACAAAAAAAATTAGTAATCCTTAGCTGATGTATGGATTGGCCTTTGTTTAGGGATGGAAAAGTGAGATAAAAGAAAGAAACAAGAAAAAATGCTTATCGCTACATCCCATTTTATAGATGGTTTTAAAAATCAGTATATTTATTTTGAAGTAGACATTTCAGAATTGTGTTGCGTATATGTCATAACTCTCTTTTATTCATCTGATCAATGTCAGATCCACAAGAATAAATATTTTTTAAAACATTTGCTACCAGTGTGAATACCAATTATCAACTGTTAAGCTATCAAAAATATTTCTCAACTTAACTTAGAAAGTTGAAAAAAAGTACGATATAGTTCCTTCATATATCTCCCACACTGAATTTGTTTTAAGCCATCAAATAAAGGGTAACAGGGTGCGTAGCGTTTTAAAAAGATGCTTTACCGTAGGGGTGCACAACCTGCTTCCAAGTGAATACTTGCACTAAGTGAATAAAAATAAAGTAATTGTTTTTTGAAGAAAAAAAAAATCTAAAATCTACGCATTTTAGTTTTTGACGCACCCAATTTAAATCAATGTAGTTTTTCGATACCAAACGCTACGGATTTAAGCATTATTTTCGAAAATCCCAATATTTTTAAAATGTTATTACGGCATAAGAATTTTAGTTATCACTTTTGACGCTCATCGTACATCCAAAGAATTTTCGGTAGTTATTGCTACCCATTTTCAGTTTCTGACATCACAACTTTTGAAAGTTATGAAATGCTTTATTTGCGTTAATTTCATGGAAAATCTAAAGGTCTATCACGATTCGTATTCATGCGATTTGGAAAAAAAAAAAACAGTGTTTCGTATTCAAGCAATTAAAGAATAACACATCGCTATTTATATTCAAAAAATCTGGAAGGGAAGAACACCACCTAGGACAAATTCCGTAACTAATTAAGTTATTTGCCATAAGTATAATACTACCCACAACAGTTTCTGTCTAAAGACTTTTTTCCAGAATGAATTTGGTTCAAAATTACAGAGCAATCTTTAAACAATATCATTAAATCTTCATTTAATGGCTCGAAAAAGTTACCACATGATCAAGTGAAGCACAGGATACAACATGAATTACAAGAAAACCATCATTTATGATTATATGCTGGGAAAAGATTTATATAAATGTAATCAAAATAAGTTTCGTCAAGTATTGTAAACTTTCATTTAAAAAAAATGCTCTCTTTCTTCCCCCCCCCCCGACAGCCCCTACCTCTCATAATTAATTTAAAATAAATGTTTTAAAGTATATTCCGCATGGGTGCAAGTTGGAAAAAAGGCCAAGACTGAAAATTTTTTGACTGAAATACCTAACATACACAATACCCTCACGACATATGCAAACTATCTAAGAAAGCTTTACTATAATACATAAAGTTTAAATACTGTACAAAAAATATTTATTCATCTGTCTTTTGATAAAATAACAACAGGACATAAGAAAGTAGACCAATAACGTAGACCTAAAAAATATTTTTAAGGATAGAAAAAAAAAATTCCGATTTCCGTCTTCGAGTCAGTCTTGTTTCCGTTTTACTTCCGTCTGCGGACATTTTCGAAAGACGGAAATCCGTCCTGGGGACAGAAGACTTGCACCCATGATATTCCGTAAGCATAAATAGAAGTATAAGTATAGAAGTAAAGTACAAATAGAATTTAGTCTCCAGAACAATGTTTATATAACAATTACAACTGATGTCAATATGTCTGTCTAAATACTTAGGCATGTGGCCCTTCATTCAAAAAGATTTTGCATCCCGACTTTACTGGTTTCTGATTCGGCATACTATAGAATGCCTAAGTAATGTGTGAAATATGTATTGTTTGTGGCATTACAGTCAATGCCAGATTTTAAACTTTGTCAGTTTGTTTAGATAAAATAAAAAGAAACAGAATCAATTTATTCTTTCTTTTATTTTAAATTCATCCCACTTTCTGAGACTGTTCTTTTGCTTTAGCTTTTTCCAATTTATTAATACGAGCAGCAGATTTGGAGCCAAGCTGACCACCTCCCCAGTGACGACGGATTTCTTCTGCCCTTTCATTGAAGTTGGTCTTCACAGACTCTACAAGCTTATTCAATTGAGTCCTATCCTCCCTGAAATAATAAGAATGAAACATAAGCATGAAAGATTTAACAATAAAATGATCTATTAGTACACATGATAAAACATTGCATAGATTTCAAAAGTCAACCAAACTATCACAGGCTGAAAAGATATGCCTCAGACAAATGCCTCGATGTTCATCAAAATTAACTATCCTCCACCAAGACATTAACCAAGAAAACAAAGAACTTGTTATTCTTAAGCCTATTCTTGATTTTAGAAAGCTAGCCAGGCTCGTCATCGTGTCATCACAGGAAACCAATAGCCAATACTGTTTATTGTGCTTTGAATTACAAGCAGCATCGTATATAATCAACACAATAAAATACATTTAATAATTAACAATATAACATCTATAGAACACATGTCACATAGCTTTCAAAAACCAATCAAAATCAATTCACCATCACAAGCTGAAAAGATAGATCTCAGACAAATGCCTCGATGTTCATCAAAATTAACTATCCTCTATCAAGAACTGAAGCAAGAGAACAAAGAACTTGTTATTCTTAAACCAATTCTTGATTTTAGAAAGCTATTCAGGCTCGTCATCGTGTCATCACAGAAAATAAATAACCCTGGCTGTGTTTATTGTTTTTAGAATTACAAACAGCATTACATATAATTAACTCATATATAGCATTTTAGATCAGAGCACATCAGAGGTGTCCTAAGAATATAATCATAAGAGCAATGTTATAGAATTTTAATTAAGTAACAGAACATACAAAAGTTTATTACCTAATCATACACATGCTTTTATCACTAACACATCAAAGGTGTCCTAAGTATATAATCATTAGCTATTAAAAAGGCATAATAATCACCTCACAATGAGAAAATAACCATGATACACAGAAAGAAACTTTCAGTAGGACACCAACACTACATAAACGACAAAGACAGGATTCACTAGTGTCTAAATCAGGAATCTGTGGAAATGAATATCTACAAGACATTTCAGAATGGTGCATGATTCATCACCTTTAGACAGCCCTCAACACACGCACAACTAGCCAAAATCTAAGATAAGTGGAAATAATAAACCAAAAGGGCTAAGACTAACATTAAAAAATGACTGTCTCAATCAGTAAGTCTGTGGAAATGAATATCTACAATATATTTCAGAATGGTGCATGACTCATCATCTTAGACAGCTCTTAACACATGAAACTAACAAAGATAATGCGGAAGAACACTATAAATCATTAACCATACTTAAAAGACAACTATATTTATAAGAAATTAACAAAATTTAATGAACTGAGAAAAACATCCCAGACAAATGCCAAGATATTCACACACACACACACAAAAAAAAAAACCTAGATCCATCAACTCATTTGGTGAGAAAACAAAAGAATTAGTTAATCATAAATAGATCCTTCTATTCAAGTAGCTTATTAGGCTTGTCCTGTCACCACAAGATTGATTTTTGTAGAAACCATCAATGACAGGTTAAAAAAAATTTTGTGATCCATTCAGGAAACATCTTAACCAAAGATGTCTAAAAAATTACTCCAAAAATCTTCTGTCTGACTCAGTATTCTGTGGGAAATAGTATCCACAATAGATTTCAGAATGGTGCATGACTCATCATTAAAGACAGGAATATAAAAACAAGATTAGTAAAATTTCAATGAACCTATACCTTACACAAAACAAATAAAAAATCATACAGGAATTTTTAAATCTGACCTCAGAATTATTATGTATGATAGTTTCATTATGAAATCAAAGACTCTAGTCTGAAATAATTCATCATCATAAGAAAAAAATTGAATTACCATCTAACATTCATGGCCTATTTTTTTTAAGAATTAAAAAAAAGCATACTTGTTTATGACCACCCAACTTATGTTTCAAAAATATCCAATTCCACTGCATTTTTCAGGTTGTGTAGCCAAATATATCAACAAAAAAATATAGGCACTTGAAAACTGTTTTTAAGCATAATATACATTAACAAAATGCAATACACGACCATGATAAAGTAACTAGTTTCTAACAAAGTTCTTAAAAACTGTCAGGGTTGCCACTCAAATCTGGAAAAAAAATTCCCTGTGTTTTCCCTGAACTATTATACACAATATATTAAAAAGAAACAACAATTACTGTGCTCTTTTGTGAGCTATATAGGGCTAACTATATTTATTAGTTTTAATTGGTGGGAAAAAAGCTGAACATATTTAAATAATGTTATAGTAAGTGAAATAGTGTAGTATAGCTGAAATATCATGGCTAAATATCCCATAGATTACGCTTTGAGTGGGTACCATTTTTTAAAAGACAAAAATAAGAAACAAAATTCCCTGTATTTTCCCAGTTTGCAAGGAAAAAATCAAAATTCCCTGCATTTTCCCTGTTATTGTAGGTGATTTTTAAATTCCCTGTATTTTCCAGGTTTTCCCTGTTCTCCATGTAGAGTGGCAACCCTGACTGTATCTGTAAGGATGAAACTCTACATCAATAAGTAATTTAACTGCCGAATTCAGTAGTCTGTGGGAAATAGTATCCACATTATACTTCAGAATGGTGCATGAATCATCATGACAGTAAGAAAAGAAAATAATGATAATAGAGGAATGTAAAAAAATACTGAACTATCTCAGGGGGACAAAATTTACTAATGTTACAAAACTAAGGCTTTATTTTTTATCACCTCTTGAAAATCTGCAGCTACTACCTATGCAATAATTATCAGACTACACAGATTTCAAAGTTAACATATAACATCAGAAAAATATATTAGTTTCATGTCGAAATCAAAGACTCCAGTCTGATAAGAATATTCATCATGAGAATAATATTAACTAGTAAAAAAAAAAATTAACGTAAAAAAAAAGGCAAAAATCAAAACACTCAAAAAGAAAAACTTATTCCAAAGAATACACTTAATTTCAAATCAGAGAAAGAAAATATTTTTGATTCTGTAAGGTATAAGAAAAGCAAGTAACTATAAAAAATCAAAATATATTGCTGTTCAGATAAAATATGGTTATCATTGAACATACATCTCAAAGGTGTCCTAAGATTGTAATCATAACAGCAATATCCAAGAATCACAGTTGACAGGCATGAATAAAAAAAGTTCCTGTCACTGAAAATTCACTCCACTTTAAATTATTTACACAATAAAACAATATCTAATTATTCTAATCAAGTATCTCAACATAAAAAAAGCAGTATGTCCACAGATTTCACCCATGCTTTCTGAATTATTTCCTAACAATTTCTTGTCCTTTTATCATGAAACAGATAATCTTACTAAGGCTCCCAATTAGAATATTCTCTTATGAACCGAAGTTTTCCTATAGATTTCAAGCAAGCTTTATCATTTCACTAATATTTTCTACTTTAAATAAACTATTATAGATCTCAAGAAACACGTTTAAAGAGAATAAAATATCTAAGTTGCTCTCTAAGCATACTTATATGCTGAGCTTTTAAGATATTATTAAATCGAACTCCCATTAAATATGCCAAAATTCTTTTATCATCTGCAGTTAAAACTAAAGTTTTCTATTTTCTTTTTAAAAAATTAGTTAAATTTAAAAAAAAAAAATATATAAAAAAAAAATAAAAGAATTTCATATAAAGAATTAAAATAAGTTTTATGGATGATTCAATTACAAACCAGTCATTACTAAATTATTCTAAAAATTGTTCATAACAAAAATCTGCTTATATCTGGATCATGGTGCATAGATAAATTATCTAACAAAAAATAAGCACATTTTAAGCATCCAAAAATATTTTTAAGCACTTCTTAAAAACACCCAATGAAAAACGCACCTTTAAGGGCTTTTAAAAATCGAAATAAGCACCTTTAAGCATTTTTTGAAGCTGCTGATTATTACTTAGCAAATATATCTAAATCTACACATAACGTAATTCAAAAGTTATCTACTTACGAATTAACTGTACTCAAGGCTAAACAAGTACAGGTCTTTCTCCTTACAATACGTCCCAATCTAGATTTATTCTTAACAATACAGTAGGGCACACCCATCTTTCTGCACAATGCTGGCAAGAACAAGACGAGCTACAAACAATATTAATCAAATTAACTACAACATTGTCATAATAAAATTAACAATTCATATCTAATAATAATGTCTCTTACTTCAATTGGATCAACATCATTGGCAATCACAACTAAGAGTGCTTTCTTTTGTTCCACGAGACTGGTAACTGTATTAACTCCTTGTCTCACAACTGGAGTTCTTTTAGTAGGTACATCTTCCTTTCCTTGGGCACGTGATTCTGCCCTCTTCCTCAAACGCTCTTTCTTGGCTTGTGGTGTCTCTGGTCTGTACTTATCAAGCAACTTGAATAATTGTGTAGCTATTATTAGAAATAAAACTTATCAAATGTGGACTATGTCAAGCGTGGACTAGAACTACTAATTTTGATAAAGAAAATTGTACTGACCTGTTTGTCTATCAAGAGCCTGAGTGAACTGATTAATGGGAGGAGGGACTTTCAGACGTTGGTAAAGAACTGCTCGCTGCCTTTGCAATCTAATATATTTGGGCCATTTAACAAATCGACTGAGATCTCTCTTTGGCTGAATGTCCTGACCTAAAATAAATTGTGTTTTATAATAAGGAATACGGTTTAATTCACATATCCAAGTGTTCGTTTACCTGAATAGAATTTTCTCGGCACTTCCTTATAATCAAAATTAAAAATTTATTTCTTTTCAAAATTGTTTACACTTGCGATCAGTAACAGATGACAACTTAGGTTTTTCTTATAGAGGAAATCTTTGTTACAACTTATTTTAATTTAGCAAAGATATTAAAAAATTTTTACTTTATACAAAGAAAAGACCACACTTGCCATGAAAATGGCTTATATATATATACATATAATTTTTACCTTAATAGACCTATTTTTACATAGCAAAGAAATCAAAAATAGCAGCTAAGCTTTCATATTGCTTTACACTAAAATCACTCATCCCTTTACTTCCCACTTCATGCTTTGTTCTAGATATCTTACAAAATAATTCTCAATCTGATTTAGATTCACTAAATTTACACAGATCAATCAATCCCACTTTCTCCCCCTTTTTTCATAAACTTTTGTTTTCTTTAAAAAAAAAAAAAAAAGTAAAATTTTTGTATCTATTTCAACTGAATTTTTTTCAAGAGGTTTGATTTTAATCTTCAGGACTGAAAAGGGACATCCACGCATTTAGCTTTTTATAGATCAGGAGGTATTAACGAAAACAAAAAGCACTGTGAACAGTAAATTACCATAATGACAGTTTATAAAGAAAACAAAAAATATTTTAAGGAAAAAAAAGATACCTTATGGATTATAGGTAGCTAGGACCTAGCAGTAACTGGAAATGGGAGATGTTCAAATTTGTGGTTAGGAGGTAAGGATTAGTATTGAAATAATTAACAAGTATTGCGTTCATGGATGCCACTTTAAAAATATTTTAAGACTGAACTTTTTTTTATTTTAAAAATCAACACAATCGAGAGCTTTTTACTAGAATCTTCTGAAATTATAGCACGCCAACTCCAAAATGTACCTTTCTATGATAAGAACTTAAAATATTAAATCAATTAAGTTTTTTTTCACCATCATTTAATTTATTTTTGACAGCAAACAAGATAAAAATAGCAGCTGTAAAAAACACCAACCACTGAATAATAAACTAATCATTTTTCCGCTATACATATCTTAACTTATTTTTCACTTCATCATTATTTATTTTTTGTCCTATCTCCATAATTTTTTTTAAACAATTAATAAACTCAATTTAACTTTGACCAGCATTTTAAAAGTTGAGGAACAATATAACTTGGGTAAAACAATAGTATACATTGTTTGAGAAAGTTGGCAATGAAGTTCAAACTCATTCTTACATCATTAATTGATTATTTCGCAAAAATTAAGTGTTTAACATTAAAGTGGTCGGAAGAGTGGCAACCGTGATTGCGCTGGAAAAGACTTGATTCAAATTTGAGGCTATTTATAAATTATCTAAAATTTAAATATTAAGAAAATATTGTCCAAATTTAAATTTGACTTACAGATTAAAATCTGGAATTCTATTGAATAACTTTAAAAACACCTAACCACAATTTGAATGAAGCCCAATCAAAAGCTGCATCATTGGTCATCACCCACCGGGCATCTAGCTACTCACCAATTCCGAAATTCTTGGGCCTTTTTTCAAAAAGAGGGTTTACAGTTTTGCGAGCTTCAATTTTCTTTGCTGCCAATGGGGCTGCTGCAACCTTCTTCTTTCCTTTCTTTCCTTTTATCTAAAAATGAAACGTAGCTAATATAACAATGTGTTATGCTATAAAATTACAAGAAAACTGGCTAGTGTATGTGCTGGACAGAACTGTAATTTACGTTTCCAACTTCTTTGCTACAATTACTCAGCAAAATACAAAAAGATTTATTTCGTGAAACATCTTTTAAATTAATACAACGCAATAAAAATATGTGGCCGGCCTTGATCCATATAATTTCTTTTTGTAAAATAAGGTTTCCTTATTCAATTTTTAAGAAAAATTAATTAATCATTTATATAATAATTATACAAAAAAAATTCTGTGCATAGGGTAATTTCTGACCGCTATTAGAGTTATTTACTTTGTTCTCAACTGGTAAGTTTCTCCCTGTTCAAGGGGTATATTAATAAATTTTAAGTGATTGTAAATTTTTTAAAACAACTTTTCGTATGATTAAATTCCTGGTATTGTCCAGGTTTTCCCTGTGGGGCGGTAGAAGCAGATATCTCATCAATTAATTTAATATTCGACCAATAAATAAATTTATTGAACAATCAAATAGTACAAATAGAGCCGATTTCAATACATAATTACAACAGATTGCACGATTGTTATTTGGCCAATTTAAGAGGCTATTTCAAGACAGAATTTTCTGCTTTTAGTAATTGTAAAGCTTATAAATTATGCCTGATAGCAATAATTATCAGACAAACCGGATAGAGTTAGTTTCTAGAAATATGGGAACAAGTCAGGATCGGCTCAGTCTTCCAACTTAAAATTAAATATTTAATGATCAGATTAATAAAATATGAAGCAAAACATTAAGGCTATGATAAATTCTTTAAATATATTAAGATATCATTCAGGAGAAAAATTATCTTTAAAAAATGTAATTACCACGTTGTCGGATTTAGGTTTAACTTATGCGAACGACGAATTTAAATTTTTTAAAACGAGCATATATTAAAATGCACATAAATAGAAATGACAATCTATAAACAATATTAACTTACTTTACGTTGAACCATCTTTAAATATTTTAATAAAACGGATTAATTTAAAGAAATTTACACGCTTCACCTTCTGTTGAGACGACCACGCAGCGAATGCAATGAAACGTTGAAGTTACGGTTTAGAGCAAGCAGCTGCAGTTAATATAAGGAGATTAATCTCGACAGCTGTAATATAAACTAGTGACTTTGTGAGCTCTTTTCGGACTCAATGATATAGTCACGTGGTGTAGGATAAAGACTAGTTGATCGAAATGGGCTACAGAGATGGTATAGAGCAGAACTCTCTTCCTATAGCAATACTTCACATGTTTCCACCTTTAGCATGTAGTCCTGATTTTCAAATAAATTAAAAGCTTTTAAGTTAGAAAATTACATGGAACTGAAAACCACATTAAACATGGTTCCAAAAGAAACGTCGTGGAATTTTCGAAAAATATTTGTGACAGTTAGATATGAAAAATAGTAAGAAATAGGAAAACATCGTAATACATTCTATACACCTGAGAAGAGGAAAGATCAAGTCATAGAAACAGTCTTCTCCCCAGATGATATAATTGTACTTCGATTCTTAAACTGCAAGTTACTTTGACTTCTGGGTTTCGCTAAAAAGAGTGCTTCACAACGCTCGCTAGGGCTGTCTGTCAAGGATGATAAACAACCCAAGTAGCACAGGGATATTGTAACAGCTTTAGTTTACATCGACCGACATTGTCAATATTGGCGAAAATCGAAATTGTGTGTACGATATTGTACGATTCCCGTCGATTTCACTATAAAAATATGTTTGTAAAACTTATCATTTAAAACTTTATTGTGTCCTTAAATCAAAATTAATCATTTAAAAGACAAAAAATGACGTCAAATTGTTATAATTCCAAAAAATAAGTTTAAAATATAAATTTAGAGATATCCGAACAACCCCGGACAATATTTGATATCAATATTGCAATCGTGTTTTTGTCACGACATCGATTTTTTCTCTAAATACTGAAATCTACGATCTATACCACTCGGAACCGTAACCATAACCCGTTAAGATGCTGTTTATCATTTACCGCTACCACCTGCGATCTATTTATCTTTTGTCTACTTATATTTAAATCTAATTTCGTCTCATAAAATTTATACCTTAGCTCATAATGTAAATGGAATGAAAATTATTCCGATTTAGCGAGCCCGAAAACTCAAACCAGCTGAAGATGAAGGGGAATTAATGCACCTTGTTGAAATGAACGAATTCTCTGATCTTGGCAGGTATGTGCTGTTTTTAATATATATAATTAAATTATATATTGCAAGAATTACATTGATTTCCACCTTTATCTTGTCCAGGCTGCTTAACTATTTAATTATATCACGTTATTCAATTCTCATATTCACAAACAGTGGCGTAATTTTATAGTATGTTTGGAGATGTTAAGCCTTCTGACATGCTTATGTTTATATTTTTCACACCTGCCAAATTGTACGTTTGATGAAAAATATTTTTTAATACTTGAACTAATTAAAAATTTAAGAGCTAAGTGAGCTAACAAATGGATCATATTTGCATATTTTTTAATTATTAATTTGTCATGGTAGATTGAAATGTTTTTTTTTT